TACATATTACAATTTTTCCTTTCACCATCAACACTTTTTGACTATTGATCAGCTAAAAGCCATCGATTTTCATTTCACTTGCAATTTCTTTGGCCATCAACATTATGTACTTTTCATTTATCGGGTAGCCATCATCGGAAAGATCTCTAATAAGCAGATTCAAATTATCATCTATTGGAGAAAAAGGAGATTCTTTGACAGTTTTTCTTTTCAATGAAATTCCATCAGCAACCTTTTGTAAAAATGCTTCTTTATTATTCCAAATGTATTTAGCTGCTTGACGAGTTATCCTATATTTTCTGGCTACTTTATTTTCATCTTCTCCGACAGCTATAATATAAATGATCTCTTTCTTCTTTTGCACAGTTAACCTTTGGTCCGGATGAAATATAACAGTAAAATTACAAAAAAAAACAAACACAAATTTCATGGTTATTCTTACTATTGCTCCGCCCTCCAGCATGTGAAAAAAATTTCTATGTTGGTCAATGTTTTTTGTCAATAGATGGCTCTTTTTTGCAAAAAAAACCGGGGTGTAAAAAAACGAGGGTTTACTGCATTACACCCACAAAGACAAGCGTCTCGCTGCCATAAAAGTGCCTCTACGTCTACACCCTAGAGTCCAGTTCTCATGGAATTTGACGAACTGGTCAATAAACTGGTATTTCCAACCATCAAAGTCTTGGCTATGATCTTGTCAACATAGACCGTTTGGGAACAAACCTTTTATCTCTTTAGAAAGCTCTAATTAAAGGTGTTGTCCCAAAAGGAAAAAAACTCGGAATGTAATTGTAATTTGTTGACGGTAACTGGTTGCGAGAATCACATTCAACAAATAAAATTTGGATAGACAACATCGAATTCAGTCCTTTTGATGCAAAATTAACCAGTTTTGAAGAATAAGTTTCGCCATAAAATTAAATAATCAAGACAAAAACGAAATTTTACCACTTTTTTATGAATAAATAACAAATAAAGCTGCATTTCAATCAATCATCATCCTGACACTAATTATCACAAATAACTGTAAGCTTTGAATTTTGATGGTGATATATGGCATGATCATGAGAACCGGTGATGACTGTAAGTGAGAGAGAAGAGAGAGAAATGTTGACGCAAGGTTTCCATCAACCCAGACACAGTTTGCGCGCGCCTAAATAGTTCGCGCACACACTACACACCGTCACGGCTTATTTATGAACGTTCGATGGTCCGGTCGTACTGAATGGGGCTTTTACAATTGTTTTTATGGGGATTACAGTGGAACAAAGTGGGTTTTACTATTACAATAATACAATTTATGGCAAGTATAAAAAGTAAGTAACTAAAAATGAAATTAGGAATATTGTGGTGATTTAACTTTCACAAGTTCATTATGTACCGTTCTTCCTCCTTTCATCGAGGCTAAGTTAAACGACTACGACCTCCTTTTCTTTAGTTAATCCCGTTTAGTATTTAATGACTTTCACCTGTTTTAATACTTATATGATAACTTTAATGAATTTTACTACTTTGGCCTCGATATTTGAATCTTTGTGATTGTAATTTTTAAACCCGCTTCCTCATCCTTCAGTACATAAGTCGAAGCTTCTGCTTCGTAAATTCATTCAGTTCTATGATTCAGTACCACTAAGTCTGAAAAGTAGCTACTTGAATGAATAAAGTTTACATTATTTTACTTTAGTTTTGTCTTTTACTTCAGTAAAGTTTACCACTTTACAATATTTCGGGAAGTAAAAATACGTACGGTAATATTCACTAAGTTTACTCTTATATTAATTAGGTCGGTCAAGGAATTCGCGAAAAACTTAGTTTCGTTTTAGGTCCGAAGATCGTGCTAGAGCTTAACCATAGTGACCATAGTGAAGGGCTCGCCCAAAAAATTTCTTTGTTTTGTGCATAATATTTTTCGAGTTATTGCTATTCAAACATCATGGAATTCGTGAAATACAGAGCAGTGATAAAATTCCTTGAGAAAAAGGGCCGAATTCGAATCGGTTTACGGTTCGTGAATCGTTAGTGACGCTTTTATGAGAAAATACTATACCCAGTTCAAACATGGCCGTGGAAGCATTTTTGATGAGGACCGTCCAGTGAGACCCATGGAAATGAACCATTCAGGCATTCCAGGTCAGTCATCGAAGATGATCCAAAGGTGACTGCGGAAAATCTTGCTATCACATTTAACGTTTCTAAAAGTACCATGATTGACATTCTCCATAATGAACTTGGCTTCCGCAAACTGACCGCAAGATGGGTCCCTCATCTTCTCAATGATCAAAAAAAGCGGGTAACATTGGCAACCGAGGCTTTGAACTTGTTTAAGCAGTACAAAAACGCCTTCATTGACATTTTGCTTACAATGGACGAAACATGGGTTTATGGCTATGACCCTTCGACCTCTGCGGAATCAAGAGAATGGGTTTCTCATGCTTCTCAGGTCACTTCAAGACCTCGCCGTGATCTTCATGCCTTGAAAGTTATGTGTTGCGTTTGGACCACCACGGAATCGTGTACATGAAATTCATGGAAACTTGCCAAACTGTCATCACTGAAGAGTACCGGACTCAGATACGCGAAGTCAGTAATGCGCTCAGGTCAAAACGACCCTGGAGAGGGTCGTGAAACCCAAACCTGCGAAAAAACAAAGAAAAAAGGCAAATTTTACATAAATAGATTGCAAAAAAATTTTAATACATTAGGTTGCTACATAAAGGTTAATTAAGCGATACTTACTTATGTTGGTATCGCCAAATTCCAGTCAAATACTGTAAAATTGCGGTCCAAAAATTGGTGTCCAAACCTGAAAAATGAAAATAGAAAGAATAAATTAAAGATGTAGTAAAAGTACCTTAATTACTTGATCACTTACCTTTTAATTATCAAAAAACTGATTTAAAATAGTTATAATTATAAATTTAAACAAAACTCAAAGTAAATTGTTGCTCTAAACAAATTCAATTCCATATGGGATAGGCTATTTCCTTTTTACCTTGTATTTCCGATAAGAAGTGCTGCCATCTATTTTTTGAAAAAAAACTTTTTACCATCGCCATCTAGTGAGCAAATACGGGTTTGGGGACCAACATTTGCTCACAAATATCTTTAACTTGACAAAACCTGTCTTTCTTCAAGACAACGCTAGACCTCACAAAGCCAGGGGTACAATGGCCTTATTCAGCGAAGTTGGTTTGAAATTGATTAACCACCCCCCTATTCGCCTGACCTGTCCCCGAGTGACTTGTTTTTATTCCCAAATCTCAAGCGATTTCTTTGTGGTACCAGATGTCCCGATCGGAATTCGATCATAGAAGCGGTTCAAGGGTACTTCAATTCGTAGCCCGCTTCCTGGTACCGTATTGGCCTTGAAGCTTTGCCTGCTCGATGGCTAGACTGTATTGACCTGAGGGTGAATATCTCTAAAATAAAAAAATTTCGAACATGCAATCATGTTTTTTTCGCGGACTTATTGACCGACCTAATATAAGTACAAGGTGTTGAAAATTGACTGCCAATGTTTGAAATAACCGGTAGGGATAGAGAGGCATTCGTTTTCGGTAGCAAAGTCCGCCATTTTCTTTTTTGACTCTAACAACTCGCGAGTTCCAGTACGCACTTCATGCTTTAATTGTACTCATTAAATACTCGATAACTTTCTGATTGATACCATACTTTACAACAATACTTTTTTCAATATCGGGAAACACTAAGTTTATATTTGAAAATAAACAAATCGTTTGGAGGTCAAATGAGCGAATGACCTTAAGTGGCTTTGAAACTTTGAGACAATTGTCCTTCAAATTTAAGAAACCTAGCTCGTACGGTTCGTGAGATTATGAATAAAATGTGAAGTAAATGAGACTGAATAGCCTTGCTATTTCTTCGAAACAAAGACTTTCTTATAAAAAATAATATAACTTGATTCACCTCTTCAAGATATCAGAATTTTTCAACACTTCCACTTTTTCCACCACTCAAATCTAACATATCCATCACCATCATATCCGAAAAGCGGTGAACGATTTGGGGGATTTTATTAGGAGAAATTTTGTCGAAAAATATTGATTGAAAATGTTTTGGATAAAGTTGTGGACATTTCAGTGGGCAATTTTTTGAGGAAAGTCTTTTTAAAAAGTGGTGATGAATGGTGGGTGTGCTAAATTGCATTGGTGACAATATGGTGAAAAAGTGATTGAAACAGACATATTTTATTGTATTGTGCTTCTCTAATTTGGATTCATTGTATTGAAGGGTTTATCTTTTTGTCACGATGTGTCTCTACCTGTTCTCTGAAGACGTACTTTATGCACATTCAATTATCCTTTACCAACAACAATTATTGTACAATCTGTTATTCAAATGATCAAATGACAGGTTGATCCTGGTGCTTGAATATGAAGCATTTATGAGTTTCACTCGTTTCTCTTTCATGGCAATACTTTGAAAATTTTGTACACAATGTCGAAGTATGGTTTTGAACATGCAATTTTCTAGAAAATTTTGTTGAGAAACGATTGATCGAGAGAAGCAAAAGCGTTCATTCTTCCGTGTGATATTGTTTTCCCTGAATTAAACTCGCGATTTTAATAAAGAAATTGGCAGACATTTAATTGTTCTCATATGATAACTTGTTTTAATTGTTATTAATAGAATAATAATTATAATAATAATCTTGAAAAGATGAAAAGAGATAAAGGTTGAATCCAAGAATGACTTAGAATGCAGTTTTCCGGGTCAGAATGTTTTGGTATGTTTGCTGGTGTTTTTGCTTAGCAAAGGGAATGATTGACAAAAGAATCAGTGAAGATGATGATGATGATGACGATGATGGTGTGAAGAGAGGAAAGAAGAAAGGTGACTGAAGAAAAGATCGAAAGCGATTTGATATAATTTTTCAGTTTTACATGTGAATATTGTGTGTTATTTGTATCATAATTGAGATAATGTGTGTTGATACTCATGTTCAAAAAACAAACAAAAATTCCTTCAATTTCATAAACATAATAATAATATAATAGCAATAATAATAATAATCATAATAATATCAATAATATCAGTAATAATAATAATAATAATATATTTATATGTATATCGGTCAATTATTTAGTTTCTGATTTTTTTTGTAGTTTCTTGTTATCGTCTTTATCAGATTTTAACTCAGGCCCGGTGGAATGATATAAATTTTTTCATATTCACAAGAAGTAAATTTGGGTGAATCAACTTGATTAAGTGATTTGTTGTCAAGGGAAATGATTGGATGTGATTGAGACAGGTGTTGATTGAAAGTGCACATTAACGGGTTAAACCAGTTGGTCAAAGACAAACTCAGATTCATGTTAAGGAATGGGAATAAGAAGGTGATGCTTGGAAGTCCTCCTCAAACTTCCGTTCAACGAATTAATTAATACAATAACCGAAAGTTAAGACAATTTACAATTTAACTTTGGTTCCATTTGTGAAGTAGATAAGTTCATTTGTTTGAGAGTTCATTAGAGATTAAGAGAAGTGAGAGACATTTACGGAGTGAGGAATGCAGGAGTTCGAATCAGGACAAAGTTCTGATTGTTTAACAGTCAACTTGTTTACTTCAATTGCATTGCTTTACAGATAATTAATTTTTATAGCAATCGATTGGTAAACAACGAACTCCTTTGGTGACAATTGAGGAGGGATAAGAATCCCGAAAGATGAAGATTAAGAATCGTCCGAATCAATCCATCAACCATTTCAACAATTTTGGACTAAATTTGGAACCAAATAACAATTTGATTTCAACAATTTTTCAGGTAAAATAATTTACAACAACTTAACAATACAAGGTTAATCAAAAGGTGTGCAAAATACATTTCCTTCATCTTTAGTCATTTGAAATAAGGATTTGCTTTTGAAGAAAATCGTCTTTTCGAAAAAGTGAAATTTCGAAGAAAACTTTTCATTTCATTTCGATGTTACATTTCAACACTTTCACTGCAATCAACATTAGCGTCTTTAAGAGCTTGATGATGCTTTTCAAAAGTGAACAAAACTATTGCGTTTGAGAGCAAAATCTTTGATTCTGTGCTGTTTCGTTGCACATTTTGGGAAATCCTTTGAGAATTGATTGCGATAAATGATTTTAAAATGACTGAAGAAGGAAATGTTTGAACTTTAGACACCTTTTGAATTACCTGGCATTCGGAAAACAAAAACACATTTTGTTTGAGATTGATTTTAAATTACTGTTAACAGAGGTCAAACAAAAAAAGAGGGGAAATAAAGATTTAAATAAATTGCTCCATTTTGAGTTTTGTCATTTCATTGAGATTTTTACGTCTAACAAAAGGAATTATTAAATTAAATTAAATGTTGAAATGGATTGATGAACTTTTGTTCGTTATATTTGTTCTGTTCATGTTTCCATGAGTGTTTACGATCGTCGATTCCATCTTCTTCTAACGGGCACATTCCTCATTCCAGTCTCTCTAAAAAATTAGGTGATTTAAAGTATTCAGGAACAGAATCATCAAGACGTGAGATTATCTTGTAAATTGCTTTCTTCCAAGATTGCTCAGTATCTTTGCCAGCCAGGATTGACTTGAAAAACTCTTTCAATGTTTGCTCAACAACAAAACAAAACCTTTCTGGAACCTGAATTCAGAAGAAAAAAAGAAAAGTAAAAATTTAGTTTTCAATATTTCGAGTTGAAACAAATGTGCAAAACTCAAGAAAGTCAATTAAGCTTAAAAAGCCAATAATCATTAGCGGTTAATGAAAGTGAATCAATGAATTTTTCGTTTCTCCTTCTTTGACAATTACTTGATCATTCTATCTGGACTTTGCGGTCTGACGAGTAAAGCCATCAATCCTTGACCAGTGTCAAAGAAGGTGATTGTAAATCGAGATTCTGTCCACTCTTGGACTTGATATTCAGTTCAACATGGGAATTAAGTGTATTAACAGGGAAGGCAATAAAAGAAGGAATAATATATAAGATGAATTGCGATAAAAAAGGCTAAACATTATTATCATAGAGAGCGACTGATAATCAAGAAGGTAAATGATGATGATTATGATGACAATTACTTTACGTGCTGAAGTTCTGGACAACTGATTTTCTCTCTTTCTTTCTGCTACATTCCAGCTTTTCTTTCACTAATAATCTGAATAGTTAAGTTGAATGCTTAATAGTGATTATTTCTGGTTTCACTCTTTTCTCTCTCTCACCATTTTCCCTCATTTGGACCCAACATTTTGTCAGATAAATTATGAGCCAAACAGACAGATTCCTAGGAATGCTTATTTGTTATTTTTATTATCATGATAATAAATATAATAAACTACTTTTTTCCTCTTCTAGTTAACTTTTTTTTCGTTTTCTTTCATCTGTAAACTCAGAATTGACTGGATAATCAATAAAAAAGTTGCTCTTTGGTTATAAATATCTTGGACTGCATGGGACAGTTTCAGAGTGTACCTGGAATACACAGTTGGTTAGCCAGGATGAACCATGAAAAAGGAAGATAACAGAAGGAAAAGAAATTAAAGAGAAAAGTTCATTTGCGAAAAGTTTACTCAGTTTACCGAGTTGGTCAAGAAAAGTGAAACTTTATATGAATCAAGATGATAATGATGATGGAAGAGAGGGAGGAGAAAAGAGATATATTGTTGAATCGGAAAATATCAGGAATATTGAACAATTGCAGAACTTCGTGAGGTGATTAATTTCGAGTTTGTTTTTCTTTTTTTACTATTTACTGTTTTGTAAATCACACACAATTAATTGGCTCAAAGTTTAACCAACAAAAAGCACAAAGTCTCGTCCATTTGATATTCATACCTTTAGCTTGAATGACTTTTGAGTTTGCAATGTTACTTGATTTATGATACTTACATCAAGATGATTACTGCGATTGTAATGCATGTTAAGAACCCGAAGAAGCTCAGACTCTTTATGAATATGAATTTCATCGGCACTTTTGATTCCTTCGCTAATTGCTTGTCTTGCATATTTTTCCATTTGAATATAATAAAATTCTCTGTTGATTTTTTAAACAAAAAGATGATGATGATGATGGCCAAGGGAAGAGAATCGAGTAAATACAGAGTTTAACCCATTATCATTGTCATCAGGAAGACAGTTGAAGAACGTGCCATTTCAATGTCCATGGATCCGTGAAGAAGGTAATGATACATTAAAGAATGAAAAAGAAGAAGAAGAAGAAAGATGAAGGAGGAGGAGAAGAGAGTGGATTGAGGTTTGTCAGGTAAGAGAGGGAAGAGAGAGAAAGATATAGGTAAGAAGAAGAGATGAAAAATTATCAATTAGTTAAATGAAATGGTATTTTATTTATGGTATAAAATAAAAATGAGCTTCTAGATAATGGTCATTCAGTTTATCATCATTTGACAAAAAAAAACTTAAGTGAACCTGGAGTGATTCAGGTAACCGTATCAACATAATAGCCTCTGTCTGAGTGCAAATCAATGGGCAACATTTGTCAACATTCAACTTTAAATGGAGCTCGAGTTTAAGTTAATGAGCTTCCAACAAATTATGCTTTTTTTTGTTTTTTTTCTGGTTAAATGGAATGATCAAGGAAAATTCAGTGCATTCATTTACAAAAGAAGCAAAACTGGAAACAGATAAGTTCCATTGTCTGAAGAGAGTGGTAAAAAGAGCAAAATCATTTTCCCCTTTTTTCTCTTCCTCTCTCATTGCTAACCATTTTGTACTCAACAATGAGCAAACAATTAAGGTGAGATAACATATCATTTGAATCTTGGTTTTTTGGGTTAGATAGGGAATGGAGTGAACATTAAAATTGATACATTTACAGGTAACTGTAAATTGATACAAGTTTTTCATGATGAGTTTTAATGGTGATTACAGTTAACGCTTTTTGTTTCTGATTAACTTTTGCTTGTCTTTACTTTTGAAGGTAAATTAACAGCCAAATGATGATTCGTTTGTAATAACAATTTGTAACCAAATGAATAAGGAATAGACAAGTAACGTGTAAACATGAAATGGTTTTTAGTTTCATCAAATGTTAGACCAGGTAATAAGGTTGATGATCATTAACACAGGTAAAACAAAAAGGAGGATGACATTGGCAACCCAAAAATGATGTATATTTATATGTACATCATTATTATATTCATTAAACAATTTCTTTTTCTTTTTTACAGGTAAGTTAACTCATCCGAATAGAAAGTGATATCTACCTTTTTGTTTCTTCTTTCTTTCCACCATTTCCCAACAACATATTTACCATGCATCTGTATTAACAAAGATTTATGGGACACTCTGTTTAAACACAAAAACATATCTTTATTGTTATTATTGTTACTATTAAAACAATATACTGCTAATATTGCAAAGTAAGATAAGTAATAATAATAAATTAGTTTTTGTTTTTACCAGTAAATAGTTAATTCAAAAACAAAATGATGAAGTTTGTTTCTTTGGTTCATTAAGAGCATTTATTATTATCAAGGGTTACAAATAAAAAGTAACCCAGGTAATATATTTATTGGTTACGGTTATAATACATGTTTAACCTAGGGTTAAGATGTGAGGTGAGCGTATGGGCGGTGGTCATTAGCAATGAAATTTCAAGTAACCTTTTCACAAGCTTTTATAATGGCAACTTACTCAAGCTACTGATTTACCTGAAATGGGTGTTGGTTCAACAGTTTTATTTATTAGGATCAAATCAACTTTAATCTTGTAAAGTCTGAGGCTCAAGCTGGAAAACCTTAACTCGAGGTTAAAGGGTCTTCTTATTATTGGACAAACAGGGGATCATATAAAAGTATTGACTGAATAGTTTGATTCACAATTTTCAGTCAAGAGATTGAACTCGTTATGATTCAACATAATCTAACCCATCTTATCCTAACCTAACCAAACCTAACCTAAGAAGTTTAAAGTATATTACAAATTAGCCTTTACCAAGACTCGAACGCTTGACCAAGAATCTTAATCATAATCAATTTTGATTCAATGCTTAAACCTTCTCGGCTATTGAATGGTTAATTATATTAAGTGTTCAATAACTTTTTAAGTAAACTGAGCCAGTCTTTTCTCATATAATTATGTAAATTGTTTTAATCTAATTAATCCAATTAAGTGGAGGTTGAATATATTTGGTGAGAAGCCATTTATATTGGATGAAATTATCTCAGACTAATTTCTTATTCATTGTGTGTGTGTTTGAAAAGCAAAGGTTGAATAGGGTAAAAAGATGGAGTTATTTTAATAATTTTGTAAAACATGTAAGATGAATAAGTTAGTAATGAGGAAAAAATGAGGTTAAATAATGATGATGATAATTCATTAGAAATGAGTTGAAGGTGTGTTAATGGAAGATGATATTAATCATGAACAGGGAAACTACAGCAAGAGAAAGAAAAGGATGATGAATTGGATGCGGATGATAATGATGGTGATGATTTGTTTTGGCCAGAAGAAGATGAAGTTGAAAAAAAAGTCTTTCACTTATCTTAATGTCACCATGAAAAATATTTTGACATTTTGTGCAACTTTTTTTTGCTATTCACAAGCCAAACCCAAATGATTTGCCTATTATTAAGGGTTTTATGTAATGATTTTTTATGTTGCCTTTTGGCTCAACTAATAATGGATAATAATACAACTGGAAATACCTTGCAAGTATCAATATTTAGAAGTTTTAATGCGTTTTTTTCATCATGAGGATGAAGATGATGGTGAAAGCATCAGATTTTGTTCTTGTAGTAATAAATCATCAATGAATAGAGCAACATAAAAAGATGAATTTTCATTTAGGTTTGGTGTTATCCTAAGAATGGAAAAAATAAAAGTCTAAGGAAGGGAAGAAACCATTAATTGATGGTGATGATGAGGATGGTTACAATGAAGATGAGGATAAAGATGATTAGAGAAGAAGAAGAAGTGCAAAAAAACTGATGAAATAAAAAGCAGGGTTAATGAAATAGTTTGATGAAGAAGCCTGCACTTAATAGGAGAAGTTGTAGGCAAAAAAAGACTCAAAGAGAATGATTTTGGGATGAAAAGTCAAGACTCAGCCAAGTGACATTAGCGAAACAGAAGACAAACAGAAGAACAAAAAAAGGCTGAATTGGTTGGCGTTGAATGACGATGATGATGAGGATAAGTGAGACTTGAATCGTGACTAAACCAGAAAAGGATTATTGATTGAATCTTAATTCAAAAAGCATAATTGATAATGGATTATGAGCTATGCAAAAAAAGTCGAAAAAAAAAGTCGACAATGTTGATGCTTATTAACAGCCCTGAAGGGCTTTTATCCTTTCCTCGCTGTTGTTGTTTTATCTTCATCATCTATTTTTTATGTTGAATTTGCTATCTTTTTTCCTCTTTTAATTCACTAATTTACAAAGACAAGGAAGCAACAAGGATTGAGCTTTCATGAAACGAAAATGAAAGTTGCCTGAAATGCAAAAAATCGCTCATTTTCTTTATCTTCCTACTTTGAGATGAAAAATGTCAAAATATTAACTTTCCAGGAAAAAGGGAAAATCAATGTTGAAATGATAAATGGTGATAAGAATATAATGAAGCTGATGAGATGAAAAGCTAAGAATGTGAAATGTTTTGATTAACGGTAATTCAACTGTAAATTGATGGGCAAAAAATTAACTCAATTGTTGGTTAGTTATCGAGATGAGTCTTGAATAAGATACATAAATGTTTGCTAATCATGGAAAATGGAAAAAAGAATTTCTTTTTTTGCTATTCAGATTAAATGAGCAATGAAAACGGAAACAATTAAGGTTCAAATTGAATTGGTATGGCAATAAAGCATCTCAGGAGGAATCGTGAGAATTGGTGAAAGTTGGGAAAAAGTTTTCGGAATAAGAAGGTTTCTCTGTTTATCATTTGAAATGGGATTCGGAAATGATGATTACTTGAATAAATCTTGGAAAAAGGTTGAGGTTTTTAAGGTGATCAAATTGAAGTTATGTTTGTTTGCTGGAAAAGGAGATAAAAAATATTAATCTCAATTTAGCTCAAGATGAAATTGTAATGATAGACAATAATGATTCAATTGTTTGATTGGTGAAACAAGCTGAGTAGAGTGTAAAGGTGAAGATGAAGATGATAGATGGATGACAACTGTTAATAGTTGAGTGATCTTAACAGAGATAAACAGAATGATAAAGACACGGTTTAACAGGAGATTATGAGGAAGACGAAGAAGACGAAGAAGAAGAAGAAAAAGATGAAAGAATAATGATTATCATTGTAATTGTTTAAAATGGTTCATTATTGAGAAGCTTTTATTCACTGTCAACAATAAATGAAGCGATAAAATGAAGGATCAAGAAGATGATCCAAAAAAGACGATTGTAAATGGCTATCATGATAAGAAGATGAAAAGAGATGAAGACTGTTATCTTGTTGTTAACAATGCATTCTGACCCTTGAAAGGTGAACATGAAAGTTTCACTAAAAGTTTCTTTTCGACTCGATTTACTTTCTCCTCTTCATCTTGATCAACAATGTTTTACTGTTTATCAAACAAGGTAAAAGGTAAATGATAAAGATGCAGAAAGTTGAATGACCATCAAGATTTGTTGGCTTAATCATTGCCAGATGTGAGTCTTTACGGTGATGATGATCATGAAGAGAAAGGTAAAGGTTGTTGAAAGTGCAATGAAAAGTGGCACGAGTCTTTATTTATCTTTCGTGTTTGGTGCCACTTTGAAAGTCAAAGATGATGATAAAGGTTGATGTGGATGAAAAGGTAAAGACTATGAAACGGATGTAAATGGCCACAAAATGGTTGTTGATATCATTTTCGTAGCATCCCTTGAAATGGTGAATTGAGAAAAGAAAAGATCATTTGTATTCATCTTTTTCTTCTTCTACCATTCACATGAGTTTGTTTTCTCGTCTCTTTCAACCAGGTAAAGTAAACAACATCCGGAGCGATTGTCTTCTTACTTTCTCTTTCTCCTCATCATTTGGGTTACCTCTTTCTCTGCCTACTTTTCACAATGGAAACTGATGAATCCTGATTCTGTCTTTCAATACCATTTACAATGAACAAAAATCTTGTTAAACGATGTAATTTGAAAGGATGAACAGGGAGGAGCATCCTTCAGTCTCTTTCTTTACCTCTTCCGTCATTCAAAAAAGTCCTCTTTTTTGTGACAAAAGAGAAGGAAGAAGGTAGAGAGAGAAGAGAGAGAGAAGGTAAAAATAGGATGAAGATGAAAAGAAGAGACATTTTTCAATTTTAAAGTAGCATAAAAGGCTTGTGATTCTTTATGAAACTTCATCTCAAGCTTAACTCTTCCTGTTTCTACTCTTTTTTTTTATTTTGTATTTTTTTCTCTCTTCTCTTCTCTTTTTTCTGTATTCCCAGAAAATAGATAATTTATGAATAAAGAGTAAAACTGAAAAGAAATATGATGATCATCATGGAAAGAAGAAGAAGAAGAAGGCGAGAGAAAGAATTGTAATGATAAGTATAAATGTAAAGAATTGTACACTTTTTTGTTGATTGTTATCTTTCCATGCGTGACAACCTCATCAGGGGAGATTCAGTGATGGAAGATTAGTGGTGAAAGAATATGTGGAAATTTTCATTCTCGTGAAAAGTTCCTTTTTACCTGAGCAACTGTCTTTTCTTTGTTTTCCCGTTTGCAGTTGAAAAAACATTGAGAGTAAAGATTTTTTGCTTTTGAAAAAAAAGTTAAATTATAAACAACAACAATAACCAACGATAATAATGGTAAATGTAATAATAATATCATAATGATGATGATAATCGTAATAAGGTGGAGAAATGATGGAAAGGAGGAGAAAGAAGAAGAAGATTCAACTGAGTCAAGGATGAAGATGATGATGATATGGAAGGGTGACAAAAAAGGAGGAGAAAAACTGAAATGAAGAATTTTCTTTTCATCTTTTTTTCCTCTGTTCCTTCAACGATTCAAGGTGATACTGTTATCATGCTCAAGACATGCCTTTTAGGTGCAAAGGAAGGATGCTTTTTGAAGGAGCATCTCAGTTTCAACTTAGCATCTTCATGAGTAAAGTAAGAGGATAAGAAAGGGAAGAGGAGGGATGAGGAAAGGCAAAAAGAGGTTGGACAAGTTTATGATAAACTGGAAAATATCTGTTTCTTTGAAAAATGAACACAAGAAAGTTTATCATAAATATTTCTCTTTAGCTATTCAGAACTTTTCCATCTTCTTTGTCTTCTTTTCTTTCCTCTTTCCCTTCTTCTCAACCAATCGGAAAGTTTCTTTTTCTCCTATTTTTCCTTCTTCTCATCTTATCATGAGGCTGAGCATCACTGAACATGAAAAGAAACTCAAGATAAACACTCCCCTTGAAAATAGGACAACATCTTTAGCTTTTCTTTCTTTTCCTTCCTTCGTTCCTATAATTCAAGTTTCAAGGTAAGAGATGAATGTGTTTAATAGATTTTTTGGAGAAACAAAAATTTCGATTGAAAATTGTTGGCTCAATATCAATCAGTCTCTCGGGTAACTCAGGTAAAGTGAAACTATTTTTCAATCTTTAAACTTGATTATTGTTTGGTCGAGTTTAGAAAAGATGAAGTTAATCGGAAAATTAACTTTTGGTGAACAACAAATGTCGCTGAAAAGATGAATGTAACTATAGAGATGAGCAAATTATTTTCCATTCAATTGGTTCATCATAATTAACCTTTGGATTATCATTTGAATTGCAATGAGAAAAGTAAATGTTTGCCCGAAATCAAAGTGACAACTTTTGTGATTTGCTAAGACTGAATCATTAACAACCGGAAAATGTTTCAAAGGTTTCAGGTTGAAAACTCTGGAGAGGGAAGGAAAGGTCTTCAAGATTATCTTTGTTTCATTAAATGTTCAATAATCGGATGAGATTAGGAATTGAATCTTAGAAGCACTTTGTTGGTGTCAAATGATGGTTTCTGTGATCAACCTTTTTCCACTTTACCTTTAATGTTGAACCCAAAACTTATGGCTATCATTTTACAATGAAACATCGCAATTGGCAATTGAATCAATTACCTTTTGATTAGATTCAATTAGATCAAATCACATGCGCTCACCATTAGTTTTACATAAATTAATGTAATTTGATTCATGATGAAAAATAATGGGAAAAAATGATTGAAAATGTTAACAATGAGAATAAATGGAAAAAAAGTAATGCAATTTAACCAGAAATCTAATTGTATTAATGAGTAATCGATTCTAGTTGGGGGCGATTTCCGACTTCCTCCTTTAGATTTGTTGAAATTAAGATGAAAATGTTTCGAAATTTTCATTAAGTTGAATGTTGATTGAAAAGTTTTTTTTGCTCATGATGATAAACTTTTTTATTGAAAAATGAATCTTTACCTGAAATTGGAAAACCATTTAACCAATTGAGCAGTATTGTTCTTGTTGAATTTGATGTCAGGGAAAAATGTTTTCAGGACATTTGAGCTTGGATAACGGACATAGAAGAACATTAGTTTAGCCTTTCTCAGATGCATTGGAGTGAGAGTCCTGAGGAAGATGAAGAAGAAGAAGAAGATAATTAACAATTGTTAAATGATCATGTTAATGGGAAGAGGTAATAATGTGCAAAAAAGTAAATAAAAACAAGTTGGGAAGTTTAAAGGGAAGGAGAAGATTGTTCCGGTGAAACGATTAGATTTGGGATTAAATAGTCAATGCAACCTTAGCAATTGTAATTCCCAGTGTTGAGCAAATTTAATTTGCCGTTTAAGTTGAGAATTAAAGAAATGATTGGAATGGAAAGCAACAGAGAAAAGAGAATGAAAGAAGAGACGAAAAAACAGAAGAAAATAAAAGTCGAAAAAATAGGCTTCAAGTTGGGTGATGATGGGGATTGAGGAGGAAGAAGGTGATGATCATGTTTTTTTTTTGTGTCTTGAGCTAAGGTTTTGCTTTTTTAGTTTGAAATTGAAATTAAATGAAATAAATTAAGATTTTGGGTGCAAGAAAAGGGCATTGATTGATGGTAAATGAGTGATTCTGTTTGATCATCATAATCTTGCGTTTCCTTCCTTCAGTGGTTATTTAATTTTCTTGTCAATCTGCATCAACTGTAAATGCTGAGAAATAGTTTAACTTATTTTGTGTTGTTGCTTTACTGGTTTGCATTTTCATTTAGTCAACTTAACCACAACCTAATGCAATTGTAAAACTCATTTAAATGTTCAATATTTGGAAAGAAACCTTAGAATCAATTGGCTTCTTATTGGTATCAAAGTTGGTAAACTATTGGAATCAATCCTTAAATGAAATTGCATGATTGCATGGTGACTATTACTGGATCAAGAAGAGAATGAAGAGAATGATGAAAAAAGAGGAAAAGAGGTTTTTTTTCTGTATTCTGCTTGTTCTGTCATTTGGTTTGGGTAAATAGTAAAGGATTTAAAATGAAGGAAAAGTGGTTAAAATTGATGATTTAAGATAGACTTGGAAACTTTCAATAATGTCAATTTCAATCACAAGATAAACAAAACCTCCCATGAAATTGAATTTTGTTATCAAAGCTATTTAGGATATAATATGCCAATCAATTTGTAACTAAAGGTTTAATAATGATTGAACTTTTTTTTCCTCTTTTTTTCTCTAATTCTATTTTCTCTGAATTTTTGTTGTTGTTGAAAAGGTTCAATGTTATTGATATGAGTTGGTTAGTCTGGATTTGTAGTGTTGTTAGTGGGATGATAAAAGTGATAAAAGTGAAATTACGTTTGAAGAGGAATTGAATTGCCGCAAAAGGAAAGTAAAGGTGTTGATGTGTCATAACCAGTTGAATCATTGAGAGATTCTGATCCATCAGCGCCATTCTCAGATCTTGTACCGCCAAATTGACTAAGAGACTCGGGTGATGCTGTGTCACCACCGCCAGCGGCACGATTGGCTTGGGCTATCATTGCAAGGTGATTTGCTGCCAGAGCATTTTGAATGGCTGCTGCTGTGGCTGCTTGATGATGATGATGTTGTGCAGCTGCGGCAGCCGCTGCGGCTGCAACTGCAGCGGCCTGTTGTTGTTGTGCTTGATGGTGATGGTGATGATGGTGACGATGGCGAGACTCTTCATCTCTCTGTTGCTGTTGATGGTGTTCATCTTGATCTTCGAGTTCATGTTCTTGTTGCTCAGTTAATTGCTGTGACTGTTGTTGTGATGCAGATTGAGGATCATTTTGAGTTTCAAGGATTGACTTGTTTTCCCTTTCTCTTTCCTTAACTTCACCTTCTGAGACTGAACCCTGTCCGCCTGATGCTGCCGCTGCTGCAGCCGCAGCTTGGCATAAAAGAGACTCACGAAGGAACCTTGCGTGATCAGAGAAAGGAAAAGCCGGGCCACCGAATAGTTCGGCTGAATGAAGACCCGGGGTTGGGATTGCCACTGAAGTTGGAAGTGAAACTGGTACCAAAGGGGGAGGAGGGGCAGTTGGAGGCCCAATGGGAGGACCAGTGTGAGGAGATAAACCAAAATTAAGAGCAGGAGGAGGAGAGGCAAGGTCACCTCGGGCTATCAAATTTGCTAAAAGAGGTTCTTGATTAAGAATACGACTAACTGTTCTTGGTGTTATCCTTGAATCGGTAACCTTATTTCGTTTCCTTTTCGGTGTTACCACAAGGGACATTGCTTCGGTTTGTTCACTTGCTAAATCACTCAAGTCACCAAGAACTGAAGAACGATGTTCAGAGTCAATTGGTGAACCTTCCCTTGCACTACAATTTTGATTATCACGTCCTCCTAAAAAGCTAAGAGATCCTGTTGGAGTTGAGACGGGCGTTGATTGATCCCGACCAGGGTTGTTGCTTGAACCAGCAGCCAATGCATTATCATTTGGTCCAACAATATCAGATCCTGATGACCGTTGTAATGATTGGAGTTGCTGTTGTGCCATTTGTGCTTGATGTTGCTGTGCCTGTTGTGCTTGTTGCTGTTGATGATGTGCTTGTTGTTGTTGCTGGAAAACTGAGGCAAAAGAGTTCAAATGCTGAGCTATCGAGGCTGCATGCAATAGATTTGGTGGAGTTTGAGATGCGGCTGCTGCTGCGGCGGCGGCAGCGGCTCCAGGTAAACTCGATGGAAAGTTAGGGAACAAAAAATTTGGTTTAAATCCAGGTGGGAAGGCAAATGGAGATGGACCAGGAGGTTTGGGTACTGGTGCACTCTCGGTTGGTAGAGTAAAAGATGAAGGTGAACTTGAGCTGACTCGACGATGATGGTGACTATGATGATGGTGAGCATGTTGATGGTGTCCATTGACGGGACTTTTATTTGAACCACTGGTCATTTGATTAATTGATGTGTTTAACTGGCGATGTGAGGGATGGTGGGAAGAGTGGTGAGGATGATGGGATGATGACGGTGATCCTCTGGGCACGTTGTTTTTATGATGAGATGAATGCGATTGAGATTGTTGACTTGAAGATTCGGATTTACCATGACTTGTTCGAGGTGATTTTGATTCCAACATTTGAGATAAAAGAGTCAATTCTTTTGAGCTTTCAGGTGCTACTAAATCAGAACGTGATATCAGATCAGATTCTCGTTGAGGCAACATTAAACTGGCCTGTTGACTACTACTTCGAGCTGCGGCAGCGGCTGCTCGTCGCTGGCAAAAACGATCAATTACACTGTCAATTATAGTATTTAGACTTGGAATTAAATTTGCTTGCATTTCGGCCTTTAAAGTATCACTTAACCATTCAATGTCGGAATAGTGAATGGGTGGACTTGGGATTGCGCTAGATTGACCATTGGCTGGTAAAGTGGAAGAAACTGTCCGTCTGCTTGACTTGTTTGACTGCCGATGAGACTCTTGACTTTTGGACATTTTCTCTTGATAGACGAGTTTACGAGCTTCATTCAACAACTGACCTGGACCTTGGATCCCGAAACGATACGAACCGCCAAACTGTGAGCTTGGTGTTGCTCGAGGCTCGGAAAGGTCGTCTTCTTCATTCAACAAATCTTCATCCATTCCATCCTCTTCTTCCTCACAATCGACTGGAACTTGTTTACGGGTCGACTTTCGAGTTCGACTTGACATCAAGTTGAATGGTGAGGTTAGTTTACACGAAGATTTAGATGAATAAGAGGATAAATCTTTGGCTGAACCGGCCGATCGAACATTCGATGAAATCATTTTTGTATATTTAATCAATGGAGAAACATTGTCTTGATCAACAGTTGAACCTTTCATCTCATCTAAATCACTCTTGTCTTCACATTTAACTGATGATTTGAGAGATAAATCATTGATTTCAGTCATCATCTCAAAGTCACCAACATTGGATGATAATCCAATCGAATCATTAATCAGCTCATCTTCCTCCCCTTCATCATCAACAATCTCACCTAAAAGATCGTCATCGTCTTCATCATCATCATCTTCCAGTGAACCATTTGATTTACTTTGCTGTGGATGGTACAACTTTCGCTTCTTACAACCATTGACTATGGTCGATGAAGATGAACTAGTTGAACCCACATGTTGGACCTCTTCAGGTTTACCTTGGTTGTTCAACTGACCCGACATTGTATTGCTTCGAGGTAACATGTTGGTCACTATATTTTCAACTCGAGCACGTTTAGCATCACTAGTTGTGGGTCCACTTGAGGTTACACTGGTTGAGGTTAAAGTTGATGTTGATGTTGTCAAAGTGTTTGATTGTTCAGAGTTGCTTGGTTCACTGGTTAATTGTAAAGGTAAATCATTTGATTCGTTGGAGTTGATCTCGGGTGTTGAAGACAATAGGGTTGAATCACTTTGTCCATCGCACTTGTCAGATGGTTTAACTTTAGATGAGTTTGGAGACGATTGTTGAGTCGACTTTTGAGTGGACAAATTATCAGATGATTGTTCAGTTTTTGTTTCATCAGTGTGACTCATATTGTACTCTTCAGTATCCAATTGATATCTGTCAACTTTACTGGAACCACGACCTGAGTTGTAATCATCTTCATCCGGTTCGTCTTCAGAGTCAACCGAGCAGGACGGCTCAACCACATCATCATCATCCAACTCGTCAACAAGATCATCTTCATTGTTACTGTTATCATCATCGTCAACTTGATCACCTCCCTTACCATTGTTAGTCGGGGAACCAGAAAGTGTCCTCCCTGAATCAGTCTCTTCATCAGTCTTTTCACCATTACTTGTCTCACAAGTTGATCCACTTTTATCACAATTAGCTCCATTGTTGGCACTCGAGTTGCTTTCTCCTCTGTGTTTACCCTTTGACAGGATAACGCGTAAAAGACGAGCGCTACTAGAACTAGAACTATTATTATTATTATTATTATTATTATTACCACTTTGTGTTTTCTCGTTTTGAAAAGATGTATCACTGTCGGCCAGTGAAGACGATGAAGATGATGAAGAGTGTCGTTGAGGTGAAACACTAGAATAGGTTGAACTTGTTGTTGCTGTTGTTACCGTTGGTGTGGTTGTAGGTGCACTTGTTGTGGCAACTGAAGTAGATAAATTATCGTTGTTGGTGTTTAAAGGTGTGGGTGATGTAACTGGAGATGTGGGTAATGATGAAGGTACTGAAGGTGTTGATGGGAAGGTTGCTGAAGGGGAAATGGATTGTTGTTGCTGTTGTTTACCGTTTTCATCGTAATTAGACGAGTAAACAAATTGTTGAGATGAACGTCCATTATGGTACATACTGTTGAGACTCCCGAGATTGTTACTATTAATGCTATTGTTGTTGATGCTGCTGCTGCTACTGCTGCTGCCAACACCATGAACGCCGAATACGACGTTACTGTTTGAGATAAGACTGGCAACATTACCACCAATCAATTGATTATCTTCACTCTTTTTACAGCTAATATTGTTCTCTTTGTATTGTGTTAACATTTTATCGTTAAATTGAACACCGATAAGACCAGCAGAACCGCCCGAACCAGGTAATGATGATAGATTATTGGGTTGATTATTGGGGCAAATTGAAGACGATGAACGTGGTAGGGCGTAACTAGATGATGGTGACTTTGAGAAGTATGAGGAAGATGAGGAAGATGAAGATGATGTTGACTTGGCATTTCCAGTTGATTTGCAATTAACTAGATCATTTTGTAATGATGAGGATAAACGACTGTTGACTATCATTTGGTTAACCAGATGATGCAATTGAATTGTGATGAGAAAGGAAAACATTGAACAGATAAAATTAGTTTTGATGGGAACAAAAGAAGAAGATGAAGACGAAAAGAGAAGAGAGAAAAGGAAGAAACGGAAAAAAGAACAAAAGATTAAAGATTAATTGATTGTTAATGATTACAATTAGAGAAGGTAATTGTTTAAACAACCTTTTTATATTGAAAAGCTTACCTGAAGAGTGAAATGCTGATGATCGGGTCGAAGAAAAGTTGGTTATCGAAGCATACGAGTTTCGAGGTTCACCAGCATCTACACGTTGACGAGCTCGTTTCACTTTACCTGTTGAATTTGTGTTTGAGGTTCGATTGGAAGGTGACTCTGACTTGTGGTGATGATGATGGGAACCTGTTGACTGGTTGTACGGGTGATGATGGTGATGGTGATGGTGAAGACCTGCTGCTGCTGCAGCAGCCGCAGCAGCGGCAGCGGCTGCCGCTGAGGGAACTAGCAGGGAAGGATGAAGAAGAGCCAAATGGTTTGACTGGAAATGGTGGGAACTTGATGAGCTGTTTGGCCCATTGGGTGAAGGCGAAGGCTCTTGAAGTAATTCCATTGGTTTATTGACAAGTCCACCAGGTAAATGGTGATGGTGAGGGTGAAGATGAGGATGAGAAAGTGAACTTGAAGGTGAACTCGTTGAAGCAGGATGAAGAAATTGTTGAACTGAATGGTGACTATGGTGAACAGAATTATTCATCGTTAAAAACGGATTCATAAAACACTTTTATCTTTCACTTGACATGAATGTCTGCAAAGGAAAAGAAGAAGAAGCAAAAAAACATTAAAAAAATGTAAACTTTATCACAAATGGAAATGTTGAGAAATGAAAATAAATACAAGTTAAACTGAAAAGTTGAGGTCTACACGAGGTTGCATCTCGTGTTGAACTGGCACGCGTTTACTGGCTCAGTTGCAAGACACCTGAAGGAGCCTAGTTTAGCTCACTATCATCCATAATTTTCCTCTTCTCTTCTTCTCTTCTTCTTCGTCTTCCTCAAACTAAGAAACTTTAATGTTTCAAATAAACTTCCGCCGGAGAAACTCCCAAGGAAATACCATTTAAGGTGAATGTAAACCTTATTGATACAGCCAGAGATGAAGGTAAGGAGCAAGGTGAGATGTGAAAAAGACGCTTATCCGGCAAACATTTTGTTTCCTCTCTTTTTTTGTGCACCTCGTTTAGCTTTAAGCTTCCTCTTTCTTCATCTCTTTCCTTTTCTCTCTTTCTTCTTCTTCTTCTTTACGCAAGGATGAAGATAGACTCAAGAAAAGGCAGCAAAAAAGGAGGAGAAAGGAGAGAATCTGAATCGTCTCAGAAAAAACAACAACAACTGAAGGAACTCAATCAGGATAAATAAACATTCTGTATAGGTTGGTCAAGCTAAATGATATTCAATGAGTGAAACTTTTCTTCATGTTAACTCTTAAATGACCTTTGATTGTCCGCCAAGGTGAGCGTGAGAGAGGCTAACTGAATCACGATAATATCATATTCAAAATGAGATTGATTTTTATTCTCATTTTTGTTTCTCATTTGTCATTAGTATTTTTTATCCATTTTGCTCATTCGACGAAACCTTTTGTTTTCTGTTATGAACAACAGAATCTCACATCAAAGTTTAACTTAATATTCAATCAATAACATGATATTATGATCATGATATATTGAATCAAAGACAGTGTTGTTAAGAATGAGAAATTGATAATGGAAAAGAGTGAAACAGAAAAAAGAGAAACTTAAGGAAAAAAATGAAATATCAATAACAAATTAATGATGTTTTTGTTGTGTGAGAAAATTTTCATGAATCGAAAGTTTCAATGATTCATTTTTATTCTTGTCGCCAATTTTCACGTTCAATTATTCAACAAGTTTAACCATTAATCCAAATTGATTCAATCAAAGTTGTTCATCATTTGTCATTGGAACATTTGCTTTCCAAATAAATGATTAACTTTGACTTTTGTCAACAAATGAAAAGGTAAATCAAATAAAAAAACTTACATTAAAAGTGAAGGTAATCAAATTGGAGCACAAAATGATCATTGGTTGGACAATTGAAGGGAGAAAAAGCTAATCGTTAAATCACTGATTAGCTTTGAATCTTAAATTATTTAAATTGAAACTTGAATCAAGATTGACTGTCGACTGTTGAATGAAAATACAATTTGCTCAAGTGAACCATTTGAATCAGATTAAAGTGATGAGCGATGATGATGATGAGAAAAGTGTAAAAAAACACAGAAAATTAGATTGAGTAAGGAATGAGAATGATTATCATGAGGGTGTTAATTAGATTAGATACAAAAAATACTGAGACTCAATTTCATTCCAATGATTCCAATATGAAACATGGAAAGGTAAATAGCGAAAGTAGAAACAAAAAGCAGATTCAATTAGACAGAGAAGAAAGGTTTTGAAGAGAGAAAAGTAAATTTTGTCTTTCGTTTCTTTTTTTGTTTCAATTTACATTTTCATTCCAATATTCAGAAAAGTTGATAAAAGTAATTCAGTTTTGGGGAAAAAGCGACCAATCTGATTATTGTTGTTGTTGTTCACCTTTTGATTAACTTTTCAATCTCACAAGTTTCAGTCTTAATCAAATTGTTATATTTAGCTGAATGATGTCAGCGATGATTAAGTTTTATTCAAAATCAATAAATGTTAAGATGATTAAAGCTGAATGCTGAGATCATCATCACCTTAAAAGGTAACATGAAAAAGGATCCAACAGAAGATAACTTTATTTTTGTTTTTACAATTGATGAACAATTCTTCTCACTCTTTCTTGTTTTACTATTTTAATGCATGATAATGAGCGGTTAGGATGATCAACATGAACCTCTTTCAATTGGAATGATAATCAATCCGTAAAATTATCTCATGTGTTCACCAGGTTAACAGCTCAATTTACAGCCTTTCTCATCCTCTTAATCATCTTTTATCGCCACTTTATTTCCTTATGAAACAAATATTTCGTCTTCATTTTTTCCTCTTTCATCAATTATACCTTTTTTGTTTCATGCTAACTCATGGTTAGCCAATCACTTAATCATAAATCAAGTCAATTCACAAATCACTCAAGGAATCACTTTCAATCTCTAAACTGTAAAATTTCAGAAGATTAAACACAAATAATGGAATCGCAATTTATTGAAACTTTATTTTTTCGTCATTTTCCTTCAAAAGTCAATTCTAAAGTTTATCTAATTTTCCTCCTTTTCATTTGAAACATTATCACAAATAACATGATAATAATGAAAAGAAAATGATAATCATTATTAACATTTACTTTTCTTTTTACTCAACAAACATCATGCAATTTGATTGTCACCAATTGAATTGGAAAAAAAGCGTAAAGGAAAAAAAAGAGAAACTCAGTAAATAATGTTTCTCTTGTAGAAACAGTATTCTTATAATGACGATCATGGATGATGATGGAAGGTAAAAGATGATAAATTGAAGGACAAAAAAGCAATTGAATAACATCTCAATTTGGTTAGACAGTTGATTAAATAGGATGTAATATCGACTCCTATTTAGGATCTTACAAGACCTACCTGTGCAAGGGCGTGAGAGATGATGATGCAGTGGAAAAAAGGATGAGGATGATTGTGGTATCTCAACTTCTTGTCATGATTGGGAGAAAAGGTAGAGAGAGAAAGAGAGAAAGAAAAACAAATGTCACTCGACTATTGAAACTATAATTGTCTTGTGTCCGTAAAGGTCCAAAACTGTGGAAACTTAAATGTTCCCAACATCGTTCCGGAGTAATGGTTATAAGAGACACCCTGTGATCCTGTGAATTATGTTAACCTATCATCAGTCGACTTGTTAGCTTAGACTTTCCACTCTTTTCCCTCCTCCTTCACCTTTCATCATTCCTTTACCTGGACTTGACAAACTCTTTCAATTCCTTTGTTTACTGCCATTTCTCTGTATAAACATCTTTTCACTTTTCTATTTACAATTGTTGTATTTTTTTGCCATGTAAACCGGAACTTTGATGGTAACCAAAAAAATAAAATGTCAATGGAAACCTTGAAATAGTCAACTTTTCCTTGGACAATATTAGAGATAACTTTACATTTATCGAAGCGAAAACAAATGAAACTTTCATCCGAATCTCCATCAACTAATTTTTTTGTTCAATTTACTTTGGAAATTACCTTTTCTTGTTGAAAGGTAAACATGAAACATTATTTGCTTCCCAATTGCACCTTTCTTAATCAACCAACGCCAAATAAAGGATTTCAAGTTTATCTTGTTATTAGATAATGAGTCCTGAAATACTGAGATTCACCTCATTTCCACGAGCATTACAGGGGGAGTTTGTAGCATCTTTATCAACTCATCTTAACTGTGTTAACTTTTAACAAATTAAACTTGTTAAGACTCATTGAAATGTCGACTAATTAACGGAATGAAAGGAAAGCCATAAACAATGTCCTCTTTCAATTGGCTTTTATTAAGGATTCACTGAATGTTTCAAATTAATTGACTTCGGTTAGGTTTCAGTGAATCATTTTGTTGCCTTTTTTATTTCAAAATTCAATTAATTAATCAATTGAAAGAAGAGAGAGAATCCAAAATTCCTTACAGAATCTGGAAACTCCTCTTTTATCATTTTACCTGAAAAACTAAACAAAAATAAAAATAATTTTGAACCTCAAAGTCTAAAGTATCAAAACTGTGCAAACAAAATGAATAAATCTGATTGAAATTTAATGTTGAAACTTTTTTCTTTTTGTTGTCTCCTTCGACAAATGAAGACTTTTAACCCATTTAAGGGTTTATTGCAGTAATCAGTTGACATGGCATTTCATTGGTGGAAAGAAATGGCGACCAAAAAAGTTTAACTTCTTTGCACTGATCAAGTTAATCGGAATAAAATTATTCAATTTGATTATCAATTGTTCAGATGATTGTCAGTGAATCAAATGCTATTTTTAATTATTACACTTAATGCGCAGTTAGTGTCAAGTCCAATGTTCATTTAAACTTCTTTAATCTTTAAAACTCTTTTTTGGGATTCTTTTCATGGAAACACTGAGCAAAGCAAAGATTAACCTTTTATCGCTCAACGCTTTTACCTATCAGTTTTTGTCGACTGATTAATGCATTCCAATGGAAACTACATCATCTTACACATGAAACACTGATCAACACTTTGATTGGAAAAGAAAATTTTCTAATTGTTATCATTTGTGGAACAAAATTTTACTTTTATTTCCAATTCTAATTGCAAAGGAATCCACTTCTCCCGGATATCCACAATAATCAGAAGTAAAGTTCATTAGTATTGATGAAAGTTTCCGGTTAAGCAGATTTCATTATAAAAGTTATACTAAACTGTTAGATTCAGGTTGTGATATATTCAGTTTAATTTCACTATTTTGTGTGTCATGCAAGTTTCGATGATAAAAAAAGATGCTAAGTGAGCGAGAGAAGAGTCATGATTGTTTATCAATTGGTTTACAAATTAATCTGATGAAAACCAGAATTGGAAAGGAATAGACAAAATGAGGTGAAAAGAGCACAAAAGGCAAGATAATAGTTTTGAGTAAAGAAGCAAAAATGACGCAAAAACAAGAGTAAAAAAGCAAAAGTGAAATCATCTGTTGAAAAGATTAACACTGAAAACTTTGGATTCCTGTAACATCTTCAAACGGAAGTGAAATTGTCTGTTCCAAAAGTGCCGTTTCCGTTAGATACGAAACTCAAAGAGTCTGACCTTGCAAGATTAAGAGACTTGTGCACTTTTCAAGATAATGCGATCATTCGAAGAGAAGAAGAAGAAGAAAGAAGGAAAAAAATGATAAAGGGTGTTCCACAAGTAAGGCGACAAAACTTTAATCTGATATACCTCATAAACGACTTAGCTAAAATTAGTTTAAATCGTATATTCAGATTCTTTAGAATTTCAGCATTCTATCGATATAAATTTTGTTGTACTTTGATAATTAATTAGCCACAAAAGCGATTATCAAGTGAGGTGCTACATGAGCATGTTTGCCAAACCCTATGGGATAAAGAAAGTGAAGTTTCAAAACACAGTCCAAAACTTACTGATTTAATCGCCTGAAGCTTATATAATGGCCAATTTTCGGACTTAAAGTGATTAGATATACTTAAAATCTCAGTCTGCAACGACTAGATGCATTATTTTTTAAATTATCTAAAAATAAATAGCTTAAAATCCCACAAATTAGCTTGGCAAACAATTAATTTTTCACCCTCAAATAAAGTTACATAAAATTAAAACAAAATAGTAGAAATCAATTCTATTTTGATTTTTATATTGTTTAAACTATCATCTTTGACATTCCAAAAATCTGAAGCGATCTATCAATTGGGATTAAAATGATTTAGTTTTGAAAGAAGAAGAAGAAAGAAGGAAAAAAATGATAAAAAAGAAACAAATTTCATCCTCATCTTCCTGCAACAGAATGCAGAAAAAGAAGGGGAAAAAAAGAGATTTCCTTGAAAGGTAAATTACAGCTTCTGCTTGCACTTGATATTAAGATGTTGCCCAAGTTAACCTCAAGAAAATTATTGTTAGCTAACAGACGCTTATCCACGCGACTCGCGGTGAAAGTGAACGAAAGATGAGGAAGAAAAGAAGAGAAGAGAAAAGAAGGAAAAAAGATGAATGAAGAAGGAAGAAAGTAAAGAATGAAAGGAAAGTCATTCCTAAAACCTTAGCACGCGTCTTTGCCCAACAAGCTTTGCTCCTTGTTAGCGCTACTTGTTACCATTTTTTATTGTATTTTTTGCATCACTTTTTTTTCTACCTTTTTTCACTTTCTTCTTCTTCTCGTTTATCATCTTTTATTATATCACTTTCTTCCTCTCTACCAGCATTTACAACGGAAAAACTTGACCTGAAAAGAGCGATCGGAGAAGGAAAGTAAAGAGAAGACAAAAGAAGAAGAAATGATAATTTTGTGCTGATGTCGATGTGGGTTTGGGTTTCCCGCTTTTTATGTGAGTCACTCTACAAGGAACGGTTAGAGGTTAAAAAACTATTTCAGATGAAGACAACTTTTCTTTACTTTCTTTTTTTGTACCTTTTCTCTCTTCTTTCCAAGCATTTTGCAAAGGTAAAGCAGATGCAATGAGATTTTGTTCATGTTTACTTCATCATCATTGAGAAGTTGCTTTCTCATCTTTTTACTTCTGTTTTTTTTTGCTGAAAATCTTGATTCAATTGTTTTGCTAAACTGTATTGCACCTTTCATGCCATCAATCAGATTAATCAGAACTTTTAGTTTCCAGGAGAAGAAAAGGTTAGAAAAGAAGAAGAAGAAAAATATTGTAATCTCAATGATCGCCTGAAACAGTTGACTAATTTAACAGTTGAAGGAAGACAAAATGAAAAGGTAAACAAAAGATGAAAAAACATTGTTACCTTGGTGAGAAGTGAAAAGGTGAAATAGATTTGAAAATGGCGAGAAGATGATTAGCTAATAATAATAGAGTTGAAAGAGAATGGAATAACCTTAATCTTAAATTTATCTTTTATTTCTGTTCTCTTTTTTTCTCTCTCTCTCTCCCTGTTCTCATGTTTAATAACAAGTTAATAATGTATGGATTGTTGGTTGAATGGACACAAGAAACAGACTGGACTAAAGAGTGACGATCAATTTAAAGTGTTCTCTACCTTAAAGATTAATCCAAGCGAATCCAGAGTTATCAAGGTTGATAGTCACACAAAATATAATTAAAGCTTCCCCACGATCTCATCTCTCAAATGGTTCAAGAAGATGAACCAAAAGAGATGAAAATATATATCAAGCTGACCTTTACCCTCCTTCATCATCTTCATCATTTGATGTTCAACGGTTTTTTTTCATCTCAAAGGCAACAAGAAGAAGAAGAAAACATGAAAACTGTTGTTTCTTGGAGCGCATAAAAGGTCCCAAGGATCAAGTCGAGTCAAGGCAGAGGCGGTGGGAGGTTGTAAGGATGAGATGTGGATGAGGGGAGAATGAAGATGAATGGGTTTGATGGATTAAATGGTGAGACAAGAAAATGAAAGTTTTTCTTCTTCTTCTTTGCAAAAGGTAATTTGTTGATGGCACGGGTATGTGATATGCTTGGCTTACATTGGTAATTGTTACAGACCATCAATGATGAGTTTTAATGGACAAACAATGATAACAAGGATAACACTTAATGATGCTTTTACCGTTATTCAGGTTTAAAAGGTGAAAACTTTTTTCTTGTTCACATTAACGATGAACTTGCAAGTTTTAAGCAACTCGACAAACGTCAACAATTTGCTTAATTAAAAGCTAAACAGTGAAACAAAAAAAAAGTGGTTGAAAAAATGAATCTTTTGATTAAAAAAGAAAGGTTGATCAAGTCGACTAAGTCAATATTTACCTGGTTTCTCATTGAATCAAAATATTTCATCTCTTTGCTCATCATTTTACCTCTCATCTTAAGTCAAGAGTTGCTAAAGGTTGGCAACATGCAAAGTTAAAAAAAACTAATTAAACTCTTGATTAAAGTTGATCAAAAGTCAATGAAGAGCTGGTAAAATGTTGAGACCAGAGAACTGAGTTTACACTTTTGACAATCTTTTAAATCAATAATGAATGTTGATTTGAAATGTTGATATGAAAAAAAAGAGAAAAGGAAAAAAAATGAAAGCGACTTTACTCCAGATTTTTTAAGGTAACAAGAAACACCCTTTGTAACTATTAATGATAATATAACAATAAAATAACAAGGTAACCTAACCTTAACAGGGAAGGTCAACAAAAGGTCTAAACAAAAGAAACTCCTATTTTTAAGGTTCCTTTTCCTTCGGAATCTTACAAGAATAGACTTGGAATAAACGGAAATAGTTGAGCTTTATTAAGCTTATTGTAGGACAGCAAAGGACAAAAGGAGTAATCAAATTAACATTGTTAACTTGTTTGGTGACTTTATCTACTTCTTGTCAATCGGAAGTTTCAATAAACAAAGAAGATAATGCAAGACTAAAAGTGAGAGAAGATGATGAGGATGAAAAAAGAGGGCGAAATAAGAGATAGACAGGAAAAGATGTTGAAAAGGTAAGTAAAGTTCCGTTGATCACGCTCCAGCTAATTTACTCTATGGTTAAGGTTTGGAACGGAAAAAGTCCACGAGACTTTCTTTTCTCTCAACGGTAACTGACCTGACTTTTGTTTCTATTTTTGTGTCTCTAGTCTCATCCCTTTTCCCACGATTGTCTTGTTATGTATTCAAGGGAAATGGTCACACTCTTGTTAACCTTTGACACTTAAACTCTTTGGAAACCTTTTATCAGTTGAAGATGAGACTGGACTGTCCTGAGCTGATTAAAAAACGCTCACTAAATGGTCCTTTTCATTTGCTTCAAAAAAGTAACTCAATCAAGCCTAACTTTGATCAACAAGTCAATAAGTTTGTCATAAGTTTTCTAGAGCTTAAAGGTTGTCAAAATTGTTTTGTTTTTGTTTCAGTGAAAACAAACAAATTTTTGTTAACACATCAAGTAAATTGATATGCAATTGAAACGCTTTTCATCTTCCTCTTCATCTTCCCTTTCTCTCTTTCAATCTCTTTCTCTCTCTCATTTATCATATTTTGCACACTCATTTACCATTTGTACAAATTGACAGTTATTCAAGTAATTATAAATTGTCTTAAAAAACGCCTTCGCTGTTGCTAATGATTGATTAACTAATGTCATCTTGATATGCTTTTCACATTCATGTTGGTCTTACCTTGTATGGGATATTAACTCCTTAAAGATGGGTTTACACAGTGAAAATGAATGGCACAAAATGAACATGAAAAAAATATCAATGAATTTGATTTCCTTTGATAACTTTGGTTATTCAGTGAAACTTAATTGCAAGTAACATTAAATGTTAAACAAAAGGTTGCTAGAGATAAAGAAACACCTTTTTTAGGTAAAGACGGATGAGAGGGGGAAGAGAGATGGCAAGGGATAAATTGAGATCTCGAATGTGTGTTTAATTGAATGTGCATGAAAATGATGAACGAAACACAGACACACAAACTAAAGAGAGAAAAGTGAGAAAAATGAAAGGAAGGAAGATGAGATGATATGTCATGAGCCTTGGAACAAAAAGATAATCCTAGGAAAGGAAACAAAGATGAGAGTGACAACCTTAACCACATGTCATCTTCATCTTTATTTTCATGTTGATGATGATGATTATAATGAACATCTGATGGATAAAATATGAACAACACTTAATACACAAATTGAATTAAGAAGAAGAGAAGTTTCAGTTTCACATCTTTCATCGTTTAATGTTAATGCAGATAGACTTGAATCTGATCATTTTATGCAAAAAAATGATAAGTGATAAAGTTGACTGAAATGTTATCGTTTTTGTATCACAAATGAAATGCAAAACGATAAATGGCAAATCAACTTTGGCTAATGAAGTAAGTTGCAAAAGGTAAATGGTAAGAAGTGTGAGTGACTTACCGTTAATTGTGAAGTTGAAAGTCTTGAGTAACAGGAAACTGTTTAACTGTTAGTGTTGATTAATTGTATTCCCATGGTTAAGGTGAGTTGATTGCGTTGTAATTGAGATGAATTGAAACAAATGAAAAGAAATGATTGGTTTAATCACATTGTACACATTGTAAGTTGTTTAATGGTTTTCATGAGGTTTGATGTTATTTGATGAGAAACGAGCGACTAACTGTTATAAGAAAAGGCAATACCTCGAAAAGGGCACCTCAAGTCGATTTTGAGGAGGAGCGAGATGATGGGGATGAAGAAGAAGAAGAAGAAGATGCAGGAGGAAAAGGAGGAGAAGATGGAGAGAGGGAGAAAGAGAGTAATCCAAGTAGAACGGATATCATTTAAAGTAAAAAGAAATGAAATTGTCGTCAGAAAAAAGGTTTTTTTTCTCTGCTTTTCAGTGAAAAAAAAGTTTTCGACAATTTATTTTGTCTTTTTTTGCTTCTTAGGATAGTGGGTTAAGATGGGGATAAAGGCAACGGGATTCAATACTGTTCATTTCGGGACTAAACAACAACAACAGTTTGTACCTTTTGGGGGAGGAAGAAGGAGGTGTTTACACCTGGTTACCTTTAACCTCTTTTACTCCTTCTTAAGAAAGTATTAACAACCGTTTGAAGCTTCTTCTTTTCGGGCAAGCTTTTACTTCAATCGAATAAAAGTTTGCAATTTTTCATCTTTTTCAATTTTTAATCGAGTAAATCAACTTTTGGCTCGTCTAGTGATGAAACAGCTCATCATTTGGTTGAGTTTAGCCTTTAGGCCAGAGATTGAGTAATTTGAAAATTTTGCGATAAAATGGAGTTCGAAATTGTGAAAGATTTTGAGTTTATCAAACTTTTAAAGCTTCAAAGGGCACTAAATGGGTGAATGGGCTTAGAATTTGAAATTTTATTCAAAATGAACTTTGATAGTCAAATGATCATTCCTTTGTTTGTTGCAGTTTTGATAACAATTGTCTCATTTTGATTTAGCTTTTGAAGTTTCACTTTTATGTCCAACTTTTTTCAAGGCAAAATTTTGAAAATTAGTTCTTTTCAAATTTTCTTGTAATTTATCATTTGTTATCATTTCTCTTCATTTGAATATTTTTTTATACTAAAGATCCTTGAATTTGGGTGACCTCGAATGTGACTTATGACATGTGTCTAGTGATGAAGAGGAAAGTAATTTTGGTCTGTTTTCTTGGACAATAGACTGAAACTAGTAACCTAAATAACAAAAGAAAAAACATTTTTACCTCGAAAAATTACCTTGGAGTTTTTGGCACGAGTCGCGAAAAGCTGTACAATGCAAGGTCTAAAAGAAGAAGGAGGATGATGATTGGGGAGAGAGTTCATCAGGTGGTGAAGATTGTTGTCTTTAAGAAGCTGATAGGTTAAGAGTGGAGGTCAGTGCCACTGTCAATTGTACTTAAATTGGGTCAATAACATCCATCGAATAGCATATTTCAATACAAAATATCGCACGCGTTACGCGACATCAAACAAAAAGCTCGAGAGAGAGAAGAAAAAAGAAAGACCCAAAATAATGATTATGATATATATATCTACATACATAAATATAAATATAAGAAGGTAAATTGAACAATACAATTTTCTTCGTCTTCATCTTCGTCCCAACAATGAATGTACAAAATCTTAGGGGTGACTTAAATTCGATCACCTTACTTCCTTTCCTTTCATAAGTCGAAGAAGATGTCGCGTGATTTGCGCGTGCAACACTAACAGTATTGTCAAGTATATTAGTGAAAGCTGTTTCTTCTTGTTACCACATTTGCAAAGGCCAACATTTGAATGGAAGAGAAAAAAGAACAAGAAAAATGTTCATCTTATCTTGGCACGAGTCGAGTGTTGACCTCGATCCAAGAGTTGTGGGTGTTGGAGGCACATTAAGCAAGGTGTTCAAAAGCCAAAGCAGACTGTAAGACGCTTTCATAAACCGTTTCCTTCGTCTTAACATTTCCCAATTGCAACAGCTGGACATTTCACTTTCACTTTTCAAGACGAAGGTAAAAAAGACTCGAGAAAAAAATGATGAACAAAAGATGCAAAAAAGAGATGAAAAAAGGTAGAAAAAAAAGTCTCTCTAAACAATATCTTTTTTTAATAGTTGAAGGGAAATGACAAAAACCGTTTTTGCCGATGAAATGATTTCTTTTATCTTTTTTCATGTCTTTTTTATCATTTGGGTTTAATAATGAAAAATCTGTCTTCTTTGTTAATCAATTGAAGCAACTTAACTGTAATTGCTAATGTTGACCAGAAAAGGTCAAATTAACCGTTTTCTTAAATTGTTGAAACATTTACTTCAACGTTGTTACCTCAAGGCAATAAGATGTAACTGTTAAGGTAAACAGATGAATGTAAATGTTGAAGTTAATTGGGAAAAGCATCTTAAGACAGTTTTGATAAACTGTGTAAACCAAATGTCGTTAAACGTCAACTGGCAAACCTTAAGAAAGTTATCATTCCAAGTTGCGTGTTTGATAATGATAATTATAAAGGAAAGGCGTTCTCATGAGACGCGTGCCAAGCTTCAACATCATTGGTATTATCGCCATTCCTCATCTTCTTAACCTGTTTAACGGGAATTTGCCTTTTCTCCTTTTCTTCCTTTCTCTTCTTTACACCAGCCCCAGAATGGTGCTGAGTGTTTACACCAGCCGCTGTTAACTTCCGTTGATAATTAGTTGACTCACTGGCAAGGAAATGTTTCCAAAGATATTTACGTTCTTCTTGGCAAAAATCAATTTTCATGTAAACAATTGGTTTATCAAAATTAAGACTTAAAATTTTGATAAAGCAATTGCTATCTTGAAAATTGATTTTTTTAATAGAGAGCAATGCTTAATATCTTATCTATTTAATGTATAATATTGAATATTGTAGATTTCAACATTAACTAATTGTTGAAAACCGTCCCCAAAAAGGGGCTGGTGTTATTTTGCTTTAGCAAAATATTTATCCTTCGCTAGTCTACCTTTGGTTCCACCTTTTACCGGTCACTTTTTTTAAGAAGCTGTTAACTTCCGTTGATAATTAGTTGACTCACTGGCAAGGAAATGTTTCCAAAGATATTTACGTTCTTCTTGGCTGATTCTGAGAACATTTTTCTACCTTTATTATCAATATTTTATTCGCTTCAATGTTGGCTTTTCTTGACTTTGGTCTTGGCTTTTTTTGCGCTTGTTTTTAGGTGACTTTTATCAGTCTTTTTTATTTCATTTTTAAATTGTTTGGTGTTGCTTTCTGGTGTTCATTAAGATGATTGGAAACAACTGGTTTATTAATTAGTAAAGACTTGCTGCTTTTCACTTTAGATTGATTTCAGTCTTTTATTTAATTGATTGTCGCGATTGTTTCGACAATTGTTTTGCTCCTTCTTCAATGTAAATATGTTTCACCTGCAAACTGTTTTCCCATTTCAAGTACCACCCTCAACTAGTCGTGAAATTTAGGATAAAGAATCAAATTACCTTCAAGGAAATCATTAAATGCTGTCTTAAAATTCACTCTAATTGAGTTTAATGATGTATTTGCCTTTGCTTTTTGTCAATTCAATCTAACCGCGTCAACGACACTAATGACCCCTAGTATTGGTTTGCTAAGTAGGGTTAAGAAAATTCAATTTTCTTAGTTAACCGTTTTCTTAAATTTAAGACAAATGTTTAATTAATTTTGTTTTCCTGTTTAACTGTTTATTCATCTAAAATTTTTAGCCAATTGCTAATGAAGTTCAACTTATTCTGAACCAGGTTATTTAATCAGACTATTTACTTTCTTCATGTAGATCACCTTGAATTGAATATTGTTGTTCTTAAGCCTAGTAAGCTTTGGTTGCCTTTATACAAAATCATTGAGGATAAATGCTGTTGAAAAACCTTTGACGGACAAATGGACTAGCTTGATGGACAAGAAACGGATCTGACTGTGGCTGTTAGGAGCACCATTTTATATGTCATGCGAAGGATTCGAGTCTCTCTTCATTATGGTTAATTTTGGTTGTATATCCTGAATTCACATGAATAACTTGCCTCAACCCGAATTGCTTTTTTCAAAAAACCAGTTAGTTAACCATAAATGTGTTCATAATTTGGTGCTTGATTGTCAAATGAAATCATCAAGAGTAGCTTTTATTGTGGTTTCACATAATTTTCAATTGTTTTTTCTCACTGTTCCTGAGTTTCAATTAATACGGAATTGAGATCAAATTCAATTGAAATGAGATTCAATCATTGTGTTCTTTTTATATGGAAGATGAACTTTGATTAAAACAGAAGAAATGGTGATGAAAAAAAACTAGTGATTCTTCTTCATCATTGGGTTTTTCCACCAACAGTTGTTTCTCATCTTGAAAAAAAATTTAACATCATTTTTCTTTATCTTCTCATCATCACCAAATGAGGACAAAATCACCATAAGTTTGAAAAGATGAGGTTATTATCATTTGACTTTCAAGTTTCCATGTTAACATAACTTTATCATTCAACAGATTTTTACCTTTCCTTTCATGTCATTCAATCTAATTTACACATTTTTCATTTCCTCATCCTTCTCATCTTTCACCCTCTCATCCTCATTATCATCAAACATGATAATCCAGATTAAAACTGTTCGCTTCTTACATAATCAAAGCCACCAAGTAATCTTTGAACAAAGGAGGAGGAAAAGGAATTCATATGTAGACTAAAGAGAGAGAAAAGTTTCTTGAAGAAAATGATTCAAAGGTATTCTGAAAGTTACCCCAAGCCCAAGTTCCCGGTGCTGCTGACCAAGCAATAACTTCAAGTGAATTGAGTTTCAACCATGAGAAACAAAAAAAAGAGGAGAAATTAAAATGGAATCAAGAATAAGATTAAGACTGGAAACAAGACACTGGAACGCAATAAACGTTGATATGATAACATATGAATAATGTGACCCTGACTTTCTTTTGTTTCTTTTTCTTTGTTCTTCGTTCAATTAATCAGGCTGAACAATCTGAAATTGAAAATAGAAGCTTTAACCAAGAAAAGTGAAACAAAAGTAAAAATTGTAAACAAAACCAGATAACTGAATAGGAAATTTATGGAAACGAGAAACTGTTCAACACCAATTCCACTTATGCCCTTTGAGCTTTTTCTTAGTCCCCTCACTGGGTAAGAGAGGGAAGAGAGAAAGAATTGATGATAAATTAATTATCATGATGATGACGAGAATGCGAAGTAAAATGATTTAAACAATAGACTAAATACAAATAATGTGAGAAGAAAAAAAAAGTAATTGTAATCAATTTCTTTTTTTGTCTTTTCTGATCAAGGATAAATTTACCTCAATATTTATCTGATTGATTCATTTTGCAGGGAGAAAGTGAAAGATGAAGAAGATGGTAAAAGAAGCCAAAAAGTGAGAGGAAAATTGAACAAAAAAAAGAGACAAAATTATTGTAAAGATGATGAGAAACGCAATGATTAAGTTGTTCCTAACCAAGTAAACAGAATCTCATTTTGCTCAGATTTTATTTACAATGTAATCAATTAATCATTGAAGGGTGAAGTATAAAAGTTAATATTAAACGTATTAAATTAGCACTAATTGCTAAAAGTCTATTAACATGTACAAATGTGTACTGTTAGGTTTTCATGTATAATGATGATTTAGGTTTTTGTTGAGGAAAACCAAAGAACCTGAATCTAATGTTATTAGATATTCAATGACCCAATTGAACAGGTAAATGTTGTAATATTAATGATAATAATATTAATAATAATAATGGTGAAAAAAAATAACGGAAAGCTTATCATTGTAATGGTGCAATGAAAACAAAAACATGAGAAGCTGAAGAAAACAGATAAACTACAGAATTGAATATCATAATGATAATAATAAATGTTGTTTGAAACTTATGTTTTTCATTGAGCATAATATTAGCAGCATTTTTTGATTGCGCCGTTTCCATTTGTCGACCTAAATTGGCTGTAAAATGGAAAGAGGCAAAAATTGGAAAACAAGAAAATGGGAAGAAAATTTATCATCATCTTATGATGATGAGAATGATGATGATGGTGGAAAAATGATAGACAGAGTGAAGAGAGAGACGATTGAATTGCCAATCACAGGTGATGTTGGGTAAGGAGAAGCAATGACTTGACTCTTTTCACTCAACTACTGATTCAGCTTGAAGAAACTGAATCAGATGAATTCAACATTTTCAACTTTGGTCTTTCTCTTTTTGTTACCTTTAATGACCGCTGCTTAGATTAAATTTGATGAACCATGAGAAAATGTATTTAGAGAAAAGGACAAATCTTTTTTCCATTCTGTTTATACATGGTAATAATCATGGTTATGGTAAAGATTATGAAATTGTCAATTCTCTTCATGATAATTAATGAAATTTGCAGGTAAAATTGAGAGACTCAAGTGACTTTAAATAAGGCTACTTTTGGCTCGCTTTGTTTTTACCTTACTTCCTATCATTTTCAGTTTCTGGTCAAAATAAATGGTAATCGTGAATTGAATTATCAATTAGTTTAACGAGAAGCAAGATGAAGACTGATGATGATAATGTTGGCAATAAAATGATGAGAAGCAAGAAAAGTTTGCATAACTTTGAAACATTAAAATAACAAGCTGAGCCCTCGATCATGGCTGATCGTAAATTTCAAGCAGATTTTCAGTCCGGAATTATCATGTTTCACTTGAATAACTGAAGATGGAAGATTGCAAAATTATTGATAAATTTGTAACAAACGATTAGATTTTGTTTAATTTAGTTTTGTCCAGTAAAGTTGACCTTTCGTTTATGCTCTTTCAAATTTTACTTTTCTTTCTAGTCTTGTTGTATTGCTGTGTTAACATTGAATAGTTATTAGTTGCTTTGGATGAGCTTCAATTCAATGACATTGGGTTGGGTTTGCTTGGATTAGGTTGTCAATGACTTTGAAATTGTCTCAAGAGACGCTTAAATTGAACTGTTGATAATCATGAAGGCTTTCTTTTCTTATGTCATCAAGGAAAGTGCTTTTAACGGTTCAACACTAAAAGTTTGCATTGGAAAACATTGAATCATCGAGATCATTCTGTAAAAATGAAATGGAAGTCACTAAGAAAAACCATTTTGTGCAATTTCAATGTTCAGTGAAATTTCATTTCGTGATCAGGGATCAGAGTTCAAATGACTTCGAAAATTCAAAGATTTATAGAAATGGTTCTAATGGTTGATCGGGATTTCGACTTAGACATGTCATTCAATTCAAATGTTGACCATTTTTGTTCATGTTCCAAACTGAGAAAACGAACAGCGGTCAATAAATTTTCAGAAATTTCGCGATAAAAAGCTTGCTAGTAAAAATGACAATTTCAGTAACTTGCATTTCGATAGAGCTTCGTTCATTAAATCTTACATCTGAAACTCGAAAATTTATTCAATCGAGTCTGTTTCGATTTTTGCGACCTTCATTTGAAAACTCGAAGATATAAACTCAATGATTTCGCTGTGATTTCCAATGTAGACTTGAAAGGTTCTGAAACCTCTGAAGCTCGAAGATGAGTTTGATTTTAATGAAAATTTTTGAAAATCAAGAGCAAAATATGTTCAATTTCATGAAACCTGAGATTGGTGAAAGAAAGAATTGAAAAAGTTTGGAATTACAATGTTACAAAAAATTACAAAAAAAGCCATTAACAATGTGTAAGCCAAAATTGGCAATAAAATTTCGTTACCCTGACAACTACAAACTGGGACTGATAAAAGCTAATAACAATGTCAACATGAAAAGTTATAACTTTTAGTTTTGTTGCCATTTAACTTTTAAACTGAATAAGATCATGATCGTCTCGGGGATTTTAATATAAGGAGAAAATCTAATTACATGAAAGAAAAATTTCATCAACATTTATTATCATCATTAAATTGTTGGTTTCAGGTTGTGAAGTCGAACCTCTTTCTTCAGTGAATGGCAAAAGGCAGCAAACAGTTGAAGTAACACAGCAAAAAACAGGCAAAAGGGAAATCTCTTTACGCGCTATTAAAATGTTATCCTTATTCAACATTTTAACCCTTTTCTTTGTTGCTGAACAATTTCACAACTTGTTATTTCATTAGAATAATAAAAACGTCTTTTGTTTAAAAGTGAAAATAAAATATATTACTTCAATCGAATGGATCATTAATTGTAAAACTAATGAAAACACCAACAACAATAAAAGAAGAGCCAAAAAAATAGAAACAAGAGAAAAGTTCAACCAGAAAAATGAAACAAAATGCACCAACAGTTCAACCTTAATTACAATAACGTTCCAACGATAATTTATTATCACTTCGCACAGACAGATGAACTTTAACTGAAACATTGGAACGTTCAATCGTCTAAATGCCTCTCAGGTCATCAGCCTTTAATATTACAATAAAGACTTTTGTTCATTCAAAACAATAAGAAGCTCGGAGTTGATCGAAAAAAAATTCATATAAAAAAGGAAATCTAACAAATTCGTAACGAAATGAGCGAAACAGAAAACTTCGAAAATTTCATTTTTCGAATTTCTTTTTTCAGAATTTTTGTTTATTTCTATTTTGGAATTTCATTTTTGATCAATTTTTGGATGAAATTTTCGATAAACTCAGAGCTTCTTATTGTAGCTTTTCATGGTTATCTGGGTTATCGCCATTGTTGCACTTGTTTGGTTTACTCAAGGCGATTGATTAGCACTTGTTGTCACTGTTTACTGTAACTGTTAACAACTTAATATAACTTAATAACTTAACTTTATCATGATATTTCCGGTTATTACATTATTACAGAATCTCAGTTGCAACTGTTCCTTTTGTTCATGGAGAATCAGTTGATTGAACAATTCGTTGTTTCTAAGACTTGATTAGGATTACACTTTTGCCAACTTATCTTATTTACTTTCACCTTTTTTTATATCAATGTTTACTCGGAAACTTATTAAGATTTATTATTAATATTTTGCTCTTTTCTTTCTTTACTTTTATTGTAAATGAAAATGATAAAATGGAAGAGAGAAAAATGTTGAAACCAATTTATAATTGAACACCTTTAATGTCTACATTTATTAATATCAAGGTTAATCAGGTGAGAATAAGATTTTGCTATTAACCTTGAGCTGTAAAAAGGTGATAAAGTAAAGTAAATATTTGACATTAGTTTGGGATTAAGACAGCGTCAAGAGAAGGAAAAGTGTTAATTTCGAGGCCATTTTACGATTAAAGGACAAAAGCCAAAAGGTGTTCAACTGAATATTAAATTGATAATAAAGAGACCATATTTTTCACCCCAGGAATCACCATCATTCACGAGTTCCCTGAGGTTTTTAATGGACTTGAAATTGAGTTTGTCTCAACAAATAAATAAAGTTGTCATGAAAAGCGCATTTCCTTTAACTGTCCAAAATTGGAGAAGGAAAAAAAAGATTTCTTTTCCTCCAAATTTATTCAAACATTTAACCTTTAATTTCTCATCAATAATCAGAATCTCATGAAAAAATGAAGAAAAAAGTAAACTTACCTTTTCTCTGGCGATGATTTATCGAGGTTTCTTTAAACAAAATGTCAATAGAACAAGTTGCGTTATTACCATGTTAATGATGTTGAATAATAATCATAATATATGAAGTTTTCCATGAACATGGTAAAGAGTATTTCCTTGAGTCTTATCCTATAAGATGAACGGAATAAGAACAGAATGAGAAAAGGATTTGTTGTTGGTTAGTCAATGGGTATAGGTTGTTGTAAGAAGTAGGAAAACTTGTTTCGTATTGGATAAGATGAACAAGTGAAGAAGAAGGAAGATGATGAAGATGATGAAGATGAAGAGAGCAAGTGTAGTAAGAGTTGACTCAAACTGGAAAAGTAAAGTTACTCTGTTTTCCTCATTTCTTTGTTTCTTCTTCTTCTTCTTGTTGTGCTTCTTTGCTACAAGAAGGTTTTTGTTTAGGAAAAAGGCGAAAGAGTGAACAAAAACAGGGAAAAAATGATGAAGATGAGGAAGAAGAAGAAGATGATTATGGATGATGATATTGATGTAAATGTCTTCTTGCGCACTATTTAACTAAGAAGTAAACCCAGCCCATCTTAACACCTTAGGACACACCTTAGAGAAGTGGAAAGAGTAACTTTCGTTGCTTTCTTTACTTCGTTGGCTCCTTTACCCTCTGTATGTGTAAAGGTAAGTGAAGATGTCAGGAAGAGAAGGGATGAAAAGGGATGAGCAGAGTTTACTTGTTTCTTTTCAGGCTTAAGCTTCAGTAGGAGGAGGTTTCTTTTCGTCTACTTTTACCTTTCTTTTTTCTTGGATTGTTACTTTATCATCATGTTTCATCGTCTCACTTCATCTTCATCATCATTAGTTTTGGGGAAGCGCAAGATGACGATAAAGAAACGACAAAAATAAGGTAAAAATTGTTTCCAGTCTTTACCTTGTTTTTTGTTTGGTAAACAATTAATTATTAGATGAAAGCAAACACTATAAACAAGTGACTGTAAGAAATGAATGGTAAAGATGATGTTTCACTTTAATTTTTGCACCTTTTATTGGAATCTGTTGAATGGTTAAACTGACGCACTGGTAACAGTTGATTTTCATGAAAACAATCAAGATTTGAAGAAAGAAAAGAAATTTTCGTCTTTCAGGTTGAAACTAATTTTTCATGTGTTTACACCATTTTATTGTTTTGTCAGGCTTGAAATGGTTAGACTTGAAGTTTAATTGTAACGCAAGTAACAAATTTATTTGAACTAAGCGTAAATAGTTTGTTGTCACGCTTCAAGAAACGGGACTCTTTGTGGGTGGGAGGGTTCACTTCTTAAGGATGATAAGGAGAGTGAGTAAGATGGTTGGCAAGAAGGGAAAGGGAGTTAAAGGATGAAGAATGATGAAGATGGTAAAAGGCATTAAAGGTGTAATGTGTGTGTGAGTGTATCAAGTTTACTGTTGCTACAATTGTGGTTTACAAGCAAGAGTGTTTTCTGTCTCTCTCTTTCTCTCTCTCTTCTCTTCATCACCAGTTTCATGAAAGCCAAATGTTTTTCATTGAAACAACAGAGGGCGTTCAAAAATGGGTGATGATGATGATAAAAAGGGGGAGGATGGGTGAAGAGGAGGAAGAAAATGAGGGAATGAAAAAAGGTTAGTTGATAGAGAATCGAGAGATTCCCTTGGTAACGCAATTAACAAGAGATTCAAATGAGAGGAAAGATTATGTTTCTTACTTTTGCTCATTTAAATCGCCATTTCAACCTTTTTCATCTTCTTCCTCATCTTCATCATCATCTTGAAAATCTTTCTCATACAATCTATTTTTGTTTGCTTTTCGAGTAACTCTTTCACTTTGTTTCCTTTTTACAGAAACCTTTTTTTAATATCAACTTCAATAATGATTGAAGGTCCGTTTCAAATGATATTAAAAATAGAAACATTTATTAGGATCAAATCAATTCTGGTAATCAAAGTGATTAGCAGTTTTATTAATGCACAATGTTTCAATCTAAACAATTTGTCAGTTGAGTTGAAACACAAAGTTCAGAGATGAAAAATCGAGACAAAACAAAAGTTACTTTGACTAGACTAACAAGGGAACCTCTCGATTCGTTAATCACTGAATTTCATGAAACATAGCTCAAAGTGCAGAAAATCATGTTTCACTTTTTCAATATCAGTTCGATTCTACACAATGAGCTAAGTTTCATGAAATTCAGCGATTAACAGCTCTCGAGGTCTTAACTTGAGGTAAACTATTGATAGACTTCAACTTGAAGTATTAGACATTTACGGTTGTCTTTAGTTTACTTATCACATCTTTACCGTAGAGTAACTCAGTCTTACTCGGCTAACCCTCAACTCGATGCAATCCGGTTTGACTTGAACGGTAAAACTTTCACACAAGTTTATCCGAATCAAATCAACTTTAATCATTAAACGACTGATTAAACTATTCACCAACTTTCATGTAAAACCTAATTAGATGTCAACTAAACTTTGAGTAAACTAGAAACGGACATGAATTTGAGTTGAATCTTTGCTTCCAGTCTGTGAATGACAATCATAACTTTATCCTGATTTGGTTAATTTGTGTTTCATTAAACTTCATCCGAATCAGATTATCCTTTTTTTCATCCTGATTTTGGGTCTTTTACCTTTTCTCAAGTTTCCAATAAAATTGATCCCATTATCTTTCACTCTCACGCTTTGTTCCTTCCTCTTTCAAAATCTAATATTTGATTAACGCAACTATTGATTCTCAATAATCAACTTTTAATAAAAAAACAACATAAACACCTCAAAAAGCATCGACTACAAGATACAATCAACAAGTGAATGTTTAATGAAACAATATTGAGACCTTGCCAACAATCAACTGATCAGCAACGAGACAAGCAAATAACAAAAAGTTAAATTCTTACCTGGTTACAAGAGTAGAAGTTACAATTACAGTTGTTTGACCAATTAACACAATTAAAATACAAAATAATCCCAATTCAGACACTAAACCTAAAAATGATGATTAAACCAGTTTTAGTTTTCTTTGCGTTCAACTTTCTTAAAGAAGCAATCAAAAGTGATTACTTAAGTGTAATAAAAATAAATAAAAAAACACAAAGGGATGATGGAAGATAATGTTACCTTTAATAATAAAGGTGAAGATAATGATGAAGAGAAGATGAGAGTTACAATAAGATGATGTTACATTTAATTGTTTAAAACAATAAGACACCCATTAACCTCTTGAGGTAACAACTTACAAGGTAAGAGACAATAATAAACAATGAATTGTTTTCTTCTTCTTATCATTGATGGAACGAGTAAGATGATAATGAGAGGAGAATCTGGATGAACAGAAAGTTGTCAGGATAATCAAGAGGATAGAAGTGATAATCTAGAGTTTCGTATAATTTTGGTAACCATTAAGAACAATCAGTTTGATTGTTTCAATTGAAAAGGAAAAACCTTTTCCTTTGAAACTTCTTTTTTCTGTTCACTGGAAGACCAACAGTTTTGTGACCACAAACCTGTTTGATCATCTTTACTGACTGATAAGGATTCTGTTCAAGTGATGTTCACTTTTTTCAGGGTACTTTTGTCGTTATATAACATATTGAGATATACAATTGATGAGGTTCAAGCGCTCTCTGGTGAATCTGGTTAACAGTAAAAGTTGATTGGTATTGAATCATTGATTTCATTGAATGGTGGAAAGGTTTGTTGTCTTTTATTTATATGAACATTCAAGTGAATCTCATTTGTCTTGTTTCCATTTATCAGAATAAAGATGATTCCTGGTGAAGAGGCTCTTCATTGGGAACAATAAGAATTGAAACAAGAGAAGAAAAAAATTGAACAAGAAAAAGGTGAGAATCACTGTTATTCAGGTAAATCCCAATCAAGGTCCAAACACTTGTAAAGTAGAGTAAATTAGAGTCAAACAACTTCTTCATTCATAGTAAATCTTCTTGTTGGAATAGATTAAAGTTCTGCTTTAAACTTCGACAATCCAACCTTGTGAACGTCATTTTAAGGTCTTTTAACTTTCTGAAAATTCTGCGTTCTTCAAGTTCGAGATTGATCATTGAATGAAAGTCAAATGGAGTTCAAAGTTCAATGGAGTGAATTTGCAAATCGGAAGTTTATTCAACTTTCAAAATCGCAATCACTTAATTGAAAACTACATGAAAAGCGAAAAGCAAAAAATTCGAGTTCTTCAAGTTCGAGATTAACAGTGAAACTAAAGAAAAATTTTGTTTCAATCGAAGGCAATTTCTGCGGTAAATCTGCAAATCGAAAGTTTATTCAACTTTCCAAGTCGCAATGATCTTGCTCGAAAATAATGGAATGCAAAATTGATTCGAACCAAAAAATGAAATCAAAAATCGAAAATTTGTCGAGCGCCATAAAGAGAAAAATTTGCGACAGAAATTTCGATTTTCAAAAAGCGCTTCAAAAGGTAGAACATGAATGTTTGATTCGATGAAAAGATCTCTAAACCTTGAACTGTTTCCTTCTGGTTTGTTGTTGGTTGAAATGGAGTTCAAGTTGTCTGACAGCTGAATGTGATGAAGGTAACCAAATATGATATGTTCATTGAGAGATGAAGAGCAAAATGAGTTTACTTTTCTTATTTATTGTTGATTGTTTGTTTGTCCAATCGCAATTGTTACCAATTTCAATGTAAACGCATTTTCAACATTATCATGTTAAATCGTTTGTCTTGATTGAATAATCTCATTGTTGTCTCATGATTCTCATGCGATATTACATTATAAATGTAATACATATTTTTGCTGTTTACAAAACATTTACATTGCATTTGTAATCTTCATTCAACACCTTAACTTGTCAAGCAAAAAGAAGAGTTTCATCCCAATTATCATCTTGAATTTTACAATGAAAGGCAAAATGAAAAAGGTAATGGAATAACAACAAAAGAGAGAAAATTCATTTTAAATGAATATTCATTACTGAATTCAGGCAAATGCAAAGTCCATCAAAGTGTTAAGAGAAGAGGAAAAGAAGAAGAAGAAAAAAAATGTTGCAAATGAATTCAACTTTTCATCTCATCTCATCGTCTTCCAACTCTTTGTAAGAACAATTTAGAAATATTTTTCTTCCTTTTTGTCGATTTTGTTTGAATAAAAGAAAGTAATTTAAATTTTATTCCACTGGTCATCATCATCATCATCATCAAAGAGTATCATGTTAAATGAACCATTTTGATTCAGTTCCTTTTTGATGACAACTTGAAAAGAAGAGGACAACTTTTCTCATTTACAAAAGTGTGCAAGACTTAATTCCCGCATCACTTAACCATCTCTTTGCATCTCTTCATCATATTTCATTTATTGTCTTCAATTGATTAACTCATTTAGCAAACAATTTAACCTCAGTTATACATCTTAACTTGATGCGGGTTTCAACCGAGAGTCACAAGCCTAAGGCTGATCAACATTAAGACAACAATCAACAGATGAAAGTTGACTGGTGAAACCCGCAGGTAACAGAGGATAAACAGTCAACTGAAAGTTCAAGTGAACCACTGAACATTGAATTGCAATAAACAATAAACTTACCTTTTCTTGACTAAAAATTGTATCCAACAATTGATTGAACCAGAAAAGTTAACAAAAAAACATTTGCGTCTTTAATTAAATCCAAGTCAGTGAACACAAATGCACAATAACACTGAGCAATGAGTGTTGATTAAGACGATGAAAAAGTTTTGAAAATGATGAGAAAAGGCAAAGGGAAAAACAAGAGTAAAAACTGATTCGAAGGAAAAGGTTGTTTATTTTGGTGCAAAAAAAGCTCAACAGATTGAATGAGAAACAGTAAAGATTATGTCTGGGCTCAACGATCACTTTTACCGAACTCTAAGATCTCCCTTTTTCCATCTTTTCCCTCCTCTTCATCATCCTTCTCATCATTATTCTCATCATCTCAAGATCATATGCTTTTGGAATAAAGAGAGAGAAAAAGAGAGAAGGAAAAATATCTTCTTTAATGTGATCAAAGAAAAGGTTTGATCGGTAACGGGATTCATCTTGTTCTCTTCTTTTCTCCTCCTTCATCTTCTTTCCATTCAACAGTGTCCACCTCTTCCACCCTCCCTTCATCATCATCTTTATCCCCATCAACATCATCTTTGCATCCCTCATATTGACTCGCTTTCATTATTTTCTCCTTTTCTCTTCTTCTTCTCTCCCACTGTTTCCTCTTCATCATTATCATCTTCCTAAACCACCTATTCTTCCTCTTCTCTTCTCTTCACTTTCTTCTTCTTTTTTTCTTCTTCCAGAAAAACAGAGAAAAGAAGAAGATGAAGAAGAAAAAGAAAGAGAAATGGCGTCGAGGGAATAACTTTATTCTTTTGTATAATAAATCGCTCTAGTTACTTTAGTCGCGTGGTTCGCCTCTTCTTCATCTTTTCCTCATCTTTTATCAAAGAAAACCTTCATCTTTTATCTTCTCTCTCTTTGCCTTCATCTTTCTACTTTTACCAATAAACGTTAACATTAACCCGATCTTGAGGAGAAAAAAAATTTGATCGAAAAAATAGATTTTCGATTTTTGCATCTTTTTCTTGCAAATTACACATTTGATGAAAAAAAGTGAAAATTGTTGCTCGAAAATTACTTGACAAGATCAATGTTTTCTGATGATGAACAGACTTTAAATATCTTGTAAGGTCAACAAGATTAAAGTGAAGGCCGTTATAAGAGTCCAGCTGCTTTTCCCTTCAACTTCCCTTTTTCTTGGCTCGTGCCAAATACTCGCGCGTACTCAACACGCATCAGCTCAAGATGAATAAAAAAGAGAGTTTAAAGAGTTCTTTTAATCCCAAGAAAAATAATCCAACTTATAAAAAGTCTTATTCCATTTACTTTTCTCTTCTCTTCTCTTCTTCTTCTTCCCATCATCATTTCACCCTTACATTTACATAAGAGGAGTTACTTTCTCTCCTCATCTTTTTTCATCCATCAATCCGCCCATAACACGCGTTACGCTCATAAAGCTGGACAGGTGGGATTCTCGTCTTTCATCATAAACATTATCATCATCATAATATGATGAAAAGAAATCATTGAAAGCTTTCTAAATAATCTAATAAACTGGAAACTTCAATGAATAATTTGTTCTTAAATGATTAACCGCAAAAGGAACATTTAAAATGAGCGAAAATAAATGTTGATCATTTCCTTGAATCATGCAACAACAACAACAAACTGAACCTTTCAAATCGATTTCCGATTTTAAACTGATTCATCTCACGCAAAAGTAAACTTAAAAAGTTGAACAAATTTTTTGAAACGCTTTTCTTGTATTAATCATTTACCAATTAGAAGGCAAAAGGTTATCTTAATAGTAAATGAACACAAGTTGAAAGGTAAAATGATGAACTCGTTCAGGGTGCAAAGAGAGAGATTAATAACCTGAGAGACTTTAAGGAATAAATAATTTACATTAATCTTAAACGAGCCTCGGTTCATTCCAAGTTTATCCTTCAATTAATTAACCATGAAGTTAATAGACATGAGAATAGACATTATTCATTTCAAGAGTTTTCAACCTCTTTAACCACCAAGAGTTGAGGCAATAAAAAAAAGCGAGTTCAAAGTTTGATGAATGGAAGGGAAAAAAAGTGAGAAAAAAGATGAAAATGAAAACAATGTTGAAGGGAAATAAAAGTTAAGATTTGAAGGGTCAACGGTAATTGAAAGAGGTAAACAGAGGTAGACTTAAGAGGTTAACTGAAGAGGTTAATGTAAGGCCGTTACAACAGCTGTTTATCCACTTTCTCTTCTTTTCATCTTCTTTCCTCCCTCTCTTTACCCTCTCATCTTGCAATGTCTGACTCGCTGTCTCAACTCGCCAGGTCAGCCCTTTCGACTTCCCTCATCTTCCTTATTATGCTTTACCCGTTTCAACCTCTTTTAACGGGTAAAAATTTCTTTTCTTTTTTTTCTCTTTTCTCTCTTTCTCCTTGGCACGTTCCCTTTTGGCACGCGTACGTCTCACTTCCCTCTTGGACAGGTGAGGTAAAGACCGTTTGACCCCTTCTAAGCCTCATCTTTTATCTTCTCCTTCATCTTCTTCTTCCCTCATCTTCTGTGATTGTCTAAGAATTGCATTGTTGCCGCAACATAAGTAAATGTTTTTTTGGCCTACTTTTTGTGGAACGGCAGATCAGAAAAAAAAGGATGAAAAGAAAGGGATGAAAAAGGATGAGGAGAAAAAGAGAATGGAAAAGATGGAGAAAATCGGAAAAGGAAAAACATGATTAAGAAAATGTTTTGTTTCGCGGGTTCGCAAGTCTACAGCTTGTCTGACTCGTGTCCAGTCTTGTTATTTACTATGGACACACTTTGACCATTCGAGGTCATCGTGTTATTGACCTAAAACAGTTTGTTTTGTTTTTCCTTTCGACTAAAAGGTCAATTGTCTTTATGTTAAACAGCTTTTTGCGTCTTTCATCAATTATTCACTTTTCCTTGTTTCACTCCCAGTTATATCGAATCAATTTACTTTTCATTTTTTCTTCTTCTCTTTTTCAGAGCTTAATCGCTTTTCCCTTTTCATTTGTCATCTTGAGAAGGTAAGTTAATTGTGATAATCAACTGGACCGTAATTTAAAGAAGAAAAACTTGATTTCGAAAATTCCTTTCACTCAATCATCTGTAATGAATAAAATGATAAATGATAAATGTTAGAAAATCTTTATGTGAGAAAAGCAAAATTTTGTTGAAAAAATAATTTCTAATCTCAATTCTTTGATGGATAAATTCATGATTGATCACAGCAATAGAAATCTATTTATTCCAACTGAAAATGAAAATAACATGAAAAGAATCATTGATGTACCCTGAAGCTTCATGAATCATGTGATACTGCAATCATGAAGACAACCTTTAAACTGATGAAAATGGTAAAAGGAAAGAAAAGTTGAGCAAAAAATTGAAACTTGGAAAGTCATAAAAAAAAGATTTGGAAAAAAAGTGTTCAACTTTGTTCAGTTTCTGAATCATCTGAGAATTGAAATACTTTTGTTTTTATCATCATTATTATATGATAAAATAAACTCCCAAGGCTTTTCAACTTCTTGCTCTGATTAAACTCTGTAGTCTTATAGTTGTTAATTATTGGTGTTAAATGAACTTAAAATGAGATTTTTTTCTGTTAACTTTATGCTCATAAGATGATCAACATGGTTAAGTATGATAATGATGATGAAAAGGATGAGAAGGATGAGAGGAATGATGAAAAGGATGAAGAAAGTAAAGTGTTGAATGATTTACAGTTAATATGTAAGTAAAAATCTCGTTAAACTTATTTCTTTTGCTGTCTTTTGGCCGCAGGAAAAATGGAAAGTTATAATGTTGAAGGGAAGGAAAGAGATGAAGATGAGATGAAGACTGTCAGGTTACATCAAGAGTATCATCCGTTAGTGGCTTACATCAACAATTTTGATTGTCAATCAGCCAGATGTGAGTTTATCCAAATTGTTGTTACATTTTCAGCTTTTAAACCATTCGCTTCTTCATTTTTTGCGCTTCAGTTTATATCGACTTTACACTGAAATTGAGTGAAATTCAATTCTGTAAATCTATTGTCTTTGACTTCAAATCTTGTACAATTGGAATACAATTTGGATAACAAATGATGTTGATCAAAATACGATTTTTTGCTTCTTTAGATTGTCTGGTTAAACCTGTGAAAATATGGTTACAGCTCAAGATGCGATATTCAACATTCAATTGTTTTCCCATTTATTTTTAACCTCTTATTGACAGATATTTTATATATGATTTGTTGATGTTTATTGTTGACTTTTTGCATTATTTTTATTTTCTGCCATCAACACTGCTTCCAAATTATCACCTTTATTCATTGAAAGATTCCTCTAGAAGAAGTTGTTTTGTTGTGGTTAACCCTTTTAATGTTTATCTTGTTCTCAATGATTTATATTTTGTTTACAATACAGTAAAGTACCAGATAATGACAGTACCAGATAGTGACAGTAAATTTGTCAATGGTCCCTAATTAAGGAGGGGTTTAAAAAATCTGTATTTTTTCAATACACTGCCCGGCGAATAGTACGAATAAGCTATTTCAAGTTACTGTCATTATCTGGTACTTTACTGTATCAAGATATTTATATTTCCTGTCAATTATCACATCTCAATGTTATAAATCATGCCATTTATATGGGTAATCTTGCAGTTTCATTGCAGTCATTCATTGTATTTTCTGGCAACTTGTCATTGATTTAAATTTGATCGTAATCTGTTGGATTTCAGTTCATTTATTTCTACAAATAAACTGGGTTTTGTTATTTCACTCAAATTTAAAGATCTTAATTAACATACTTTCCCTCAAATTTTCCCTCGCTTTTTCATAACACGTCTGCTTAGGAAACTCATTCTTCTGATATTATTGTAAGATTATTATTAATGCTTCATTTGTTTTTCAATTTCTTACCTCTTTTCATTTATCTTTAATTAATGTCTCCACCATGTAATTTTGTGCTAAAAACCTTCTTTTTTGTGCTATCGAAATTTCTACATCTTCATGTGAAAAGCATGGTTTGACTGGCGTGTCTAAACGTTGAGTTTGCATGTGGTGGTACTTTGGCTTTGATGTAACTTTGCTTAAGATTACATCAGAATTTTAATGGTTCATGGGTCTACAGAGTTGTATTCGTAAGTATTGTTATCAAGTAATAACAAATTCACTGCTTTTGACCATTTCTAACATCTGAAGATTATGTGCGTGATCCAGTTATAATCTGCTAACCCAACAAGTATCGTCTGACTCTTTTAGGCCTTTGGTTAATTTACTCTCCTGTTGATAGCTTGATGGTAAAGTCATGGTTAAAGCTTAATTATGGATCGACTGTTCTATGGTAATCAGAAATCGCAAGTCATCCAAAATGTTGGTCAACATGTTTCCCCTACACTCTTCGACTGGATGTATCTAACATTTTAATGCTCGATTTTGTTAATTGTTGGTTATTTATTTGCTGGTTTATGGACAACAGCACAAATAGGCATGTCCAGTTGACCCTTTCAAGGATGAAAGTTGTCGTTTTGGGGTTAAAATGAATGATTAAATGACCCTCTGTTTATGGTTTCTTACAAGAAAGTGTTTTTAGTCAAGAAAGCAAAAAGAAAAGGTATGAATGAATGAATGAATGAATAAAAAGAGTTGAGGAAAAAGTATGTTCCGTCTGGTAACATATACTCACTCATATGGACTCACTAACTTATCATCTTGCATTTTTCTCTCTCATCTGCCTTTTATAAATGTCACTAGACTGTTGAGATGAACTGTTTTGGTACTTTTTGACGTCAAGGAAACCCCAAAGAATAGTGAAAAGTAACTGGAAAGGGAACCCTTTAAACCATCTTAACTTGATCAGCTGCTAAAATTGACCTGACCTCAAACGATCAATGACCTTTTACATCTCTCGATTGCTGTTCTCTTCCTTCACTTTCTTTCAACATTTTCTTGGCTCGTGCCTATTCATTGGCAACACTCACTTTCTCACTTTCTTCATCATCTTCCTTTTCATCTTCTCACTTATACCACCATACCATTAGCTGACTACAAGATAAACCTGAATAGATGCAATTACCCATTGATAATGACCAATTTAATAATGGAGTGGACATTCAGATTGGAATGAAAAATTATGGAAATCAAATTTAACTTCATGGTTATAAATGGGCTTTCAAGTTTTTAAGATAAATGGAATTGAATATTGAAACAAAAATGGATAAAAATGGTAGACATGGAAAGCAAAGGAGAGCAGAGCTGAATTTAAGAACATAATAATAATATTAATAACAACTTTAATAATACTTGTCCAGATAATTTATATCAATATTATTATAAACTGAAAGGTTCATTTTTATGTCTTATAAAGCCAACAACTACACCATTATTAACCAAGTTCATGTTCCCTGGCTACAAAAAAACGGATGAAATGGATTCCCAATGGACAAAAGGAAAAGAGTTAAAGGATGGTGAAAATTCATTCTTTTCCATTTTTATCTTCATCATCTTCATCATCACTATTAATTAAACCACATAAAAGCAACATTATACTTTATATTATGTATTATTTTAAAGTTACTTTTTTTGCTGGCCATTTTCTTCCTCTTCGCCAACCTCTTCTCCTTCATCTCATTTTTTGGCGATTTATGGTTTCATCCATTTTTGCTGTTGCTCCTGCTCTTGTTTCATGTAAAAATGTTAATTGCCATTATTGATAATCACATCTCGACGGAAGTTTCAAACCTGTTTGTTTGCCTAATAAGATGTTTGTAATGATTGACAAAGGAGAGGAAGGGTGACCAGTTGAAAGGATGATCAAGATAAACAAATAAACAACAACAAAAGGAGACGAATAATGAAACAGGAAACAGGAAGATAAAGAATCCTCTTTTAGCATCTTCCTTTTTTCAGCTCTTTATTGTCGCATGATACTCATTGTGTAAAAAACTGTACCAACTTCATGACTTTGGACAACAATTCAACTTGACTTGATCAACTTTCTTTTGGATCCATTGTTAATCAAAGTGCATTCCCAATTGGAAGCTGTAAACAGATTCATAAGTCAAAATTTAAACAAAATTCAAAACCAAAATTGGATCAAAAGCTGAATTAGGAATTGGATCCGAATCTGATTCAAAATGAATCCGAACTGAATCCATGACTGAATTCAACTATTCAAGTCATTCGCAAATGAAAGTATGTTTGAATCTAATATTGAACCCAAGAATGACAATCATTCAATTGAGATGTTAATTGATGAAGTAAAACAAATAGATGTTAATGTTTAAATATCATGAATAATAACTCGGAAAGAGATTTGATAATGTTAATGATCCTTAATATAAATCAATAGAAACGTGACTCTCAACATTGATTCTCATTCATCATCATTATTATTAATATTCTTGTTTCCATCTCAGACTAACTAATTACCCTTTTCCTCATCAATAATAATCATGATGATAAATCTTGATTTTAGCATCTTCTTAATGAGAATAGCATTTAGTTGTTTAACGCCTTCAGGCGATTCTTCATTTGTTTTACTTTAATTGACACTCAATTTGAATCATTTCATTTTCTTCATTTTCATCTTCCATTTCTCTCTTCACTCCTTCCTTCACTTCTCTTCTTATTATCACCCAATGTTAAAAAGTATCATTTAAAGCTCAACATCAATTGACTTTATTTACCCTTAAGGTTCATTCTCAGTCAGTGACACTTATTATATTTACATTACCAATCTATCTCAACATTTTCAACATATTCAGACTTTTTTCTCGACTCACCGACATCCTGATTAAACCTTTAATTAAAATGGATCGATAATTAAAACATTTTGAAAAACTGTTGGTCAACTTTAAAATGAGCGCCTCTTTGTCAACCAGCTTACACCCCTTTTCATTCCCCTTTTCAATCATCTGTTTCACAGTTGTCTAAGCAAATCTTTCTCAAATTGAGTTCAATTTTCATTTTTTTAACATTTTAATCAACAGTTAAGCTGATTATTTAAACTCATGGATCGTTGAGATATTTTTTAACTATCCTGAATTCACCAGTTATCCTTAAACATGGAATTGTGTCGTCTCATCAAAACTCAAGTCAATCATCCTGGCAATGACTGTTGGATCAATGTTATCAAATTATTGGTTAAATTATCTCATTACTGAATTACTCCTGTCTAAACCTTGGGTAAAGAAAGACATTTAAGATGGCATTAAAAGATCAAGATATTGTATGAAAAGCTGGACAATCGAGACAAGATGGACAGAATATCAACAATTGGCGCAGATTAACCAACCTTTGTAATCTCTTATTAATCAACTTGTTTTTCTTGGTCTATTATCCTCAGTGTTTTAGCTCAATTGATCAACTCACCACTGGAAACCAAACAATTTTGATTAGGTTATCCGCAACAAGTTGACAGGAAAAAAAGCGAACAGAAAAGGATGAGAAAAAAATAAGGTTTAATGGATCATTTGTAAGGGTAATAGGATGAAAAAAATTGGATCTTCATCCTCTCAGGGGAAATGTTTCAGGGTGAGAAAAGATTCAAGTGATGAGAGGATGATAATGTGTAAAAAAAGATGCTTACTCTCTATAAACATTTCCCTTGTTCAACTATAGATGAAAAAAAAGAAGGCAAAAAATGGTTTTCTTGGGAAGAGCAAGAAGATAAAAAGATCGGGGTGAGAAGATGAGGATGAAGATGCTGATGATGATGCAGTTTATAGAGTAAACTTGAATGTAAGGAAATAAGCTTAAGGAGCAAAAAAAGATTCAGGGTGAGGCGGAAGGTTAGAGAATCTGAATGAGTGAGAAGTTCCTATGGAAACTAAATGTTTCCCTTTCTTTTTATTAACTTAATTTATCAACTTGTTGAAAGTTAATGAAAATGATTTGTTCATTTTGCTCATCATTTATCCATTCAATTATTCATCACTTATTTCATTGACAAACAATCAAATAACCAACATAAATGAAACAAATTGATCCTCAGCAAAATTGTTTGGTCCAGTAAATGGTCATTTAGATTGAAACGCTTTCCCTTCCAATTGCCTAGAAAAACAAGTTTGATTGATAAAATATTATCTAACCAAAGTGACCAAATCCTGAAAAAGCTGAGTCGAAAAAATTGAATCTTTCCTGAGTTTGATGAAATTAGAATTGAATGGTTAATGAAAATGTTGGCTAATTTTCACTTCTAATGTAAATAACTTTCACAGAAAGAAATCAGTTTTTTTCAATTTCAACCCAACATTCGTAATTAAATCATAATTGGTGAAATGGGTTAAGATTGAAAATTAATTGGTAAACAGGGAAATGAAAAAAAAGGTTAACATGTAATAACAATTTACTGTTCCTTGAGACTGGAAATACATAATGAAAGGAAAAAATCTTCAGAATCATCAACATGTTCCTCTTCAAGTAAAGAAACCTCGGAGTCGAAAAAAAAGAGAAAAAATCAACATTAATTAATCTAATTAACAATCCTTTGAGTTTAGTTGTTCAACACATAAAAAAAAGATTCATCTTATCTCTATCTTGTTCATTGTTGATGAGGATGTCGTCTTCATCTTCATCCGTTTATACAATTTCCTAGTGACTGAACGGGAAATGAGTCCATGTTGGGTGAAAGCAAAAAAGGAGAAGAAAGAGCAAAATAGAAATTCGTAAAAAAGCAATTTCTCGTCTTTATTGGAAAGACAAACTCATAAACTGAATATTTCAAGGAAATTATTAGATGTTGGTAACAATATTAGACGAGAGTAAAAAAGGAAAGGAAAAAGATGATAATGATGAGGATGAAGGCAAAAAACATGAGAACATGAATTTGTATGTTGAATCCGGCAAATGAATGTTAATACCTAAAACCTAACGGATGTTAATTTGATGTGCAAAAAACACAAAACTGGCAATGATTAAGATATTATTTGGATAAGACTTGGAAAAAATATTATTAAATAATAAATAAAATAAACATAACTTAAATGATTTATGGCTGGAAAAATAACATTATTCATGAAATGAACATTTTTACGCTTCTAAGTTGATTCATTTTGTAATTATCATCACAATTTGGCTTTGTTTTTGCCAGTTGATCAAATAATTAATGAACATTGAAAGATGGTAAAATGGAGAGAAGAAGAAGAGAAAAATGCATTTTAATCATTTTCCTTTTCATAGTTTCATTGATCAATAAATTATTTTCTCATGTTGCTGTTTAATGTGCAAATGATCATCTTAAACATGATGAAGGTTTACTGGTAATGGATCCAATCAAATGCTGGAATGACATTGAAACATGTAAAGGAACAAATTACCTGTTAAAATACGAGTAAAATACATCATTATCGGTATTGAACGTTTAAAGGTTGAAGGTAAATTTACCTTAATTTTGTTCATTGAAACAATTGAACCAAATTGTCTTAAGGTTTACTTAAAAGCATTTAAAAGTTGCGTGTTTAGTCAACATTAAGCCAGGTTAATTTACCTTTAAAATGTTGAAAAAAGTAATTGAAGTTTGTGAACTAAGAACTGAAACTTGAAACCCTTTCATCAGGGAATCCCTTTTAACTGTCTTTCAATGGTTTTACCATTTTTCAATGTTTGCTCATTTTTACTCCACTCATTAACAGAAGTAAAATTTTCTTCAATTTTATCCATTTTACTGTTGATTTGTCGGTTGAACATTTGTTCAAGTTTGTATTACAAGAAAAGAAATTGTGATTAATGATAAATTCCAAGTTTATAGACTAAGAATTTAGTTTGTTGAAGGAAGAGGGAAAAGTGATTCAGAATCTATTCTCATCATTGGGAGTAAAAATTGTTGGAAAATATTTATTTTTATTTTTACTCTTCTGTAAGAATCCCAAGAATTGAATTTTTCAGTTTGAAAAAACATGTTTCCTTTCAGATTCAATTTTTCATTTATCATCATCTATTGGATTATGGTTACAATTGAATCACTTTTGCAACAAGCAATTGCTTTATAACAAGAAGAACAAGAAAGACTGGGAGTTTTTGCTATCATTATTAATATTATTATTAATATAATCATGGAAGCAAATATTCTTGTTTGAATACGAAAAAAAAACGTAATAAGAATCGAATTCAAATTTTCTTTTGATCTCTTAATTCAAATAAAAATGGATAAAATTTCATGGTAAACAAGTGATGTCATGAAGGAAATCTGATGGAAAAAAGCAATTCTTTTTTTGTTTCATTCCATGAATCATGTTTAATTAGTAAATCATTTGATGTTTTTGCAAAGAAAATGTGATTCTTCTTTAATCAAACATTTTCTTATTCGTCTTCTTGATTAGTTGATTGCATGGTTAAACAATTTTCTTATTCAGTTTCAATTGAAAAGATTTTCCTCTCTGATTCAGTTTCATGTTTGCCATTAGAACAAATAATTTCGTTTCTTTTCGTGATTAAACTCACGAAATTTAAGGTACAAAAAATGAGGTTCGAAGGGTTGAGTGGATGAACAAGATGATGGAAATGATGAAAATGAGCAATTCTGTGCTTCGCTCTTTTTTTGTGTCTCAATCAAGTGGATTCAATGTTGTCCAGTCAAGTTAATCAATCAAGTGAAAAAGCTATAATTAAAGGAAAGAAAACTGTTCTCTGTTATAATTAAAAGGCTCTTGAAAAGCATCTCAATTCAGTTCAAGATTCAGTGTTATCATCATCATCTTTCCTTGCATCAGGTTACGTTTAGATGATAACAAATGCATCTTCATTGAAACGTCAAACCACTCAATCAACTGATTGTAATTAAAAAGATAGTTTACAGGGAAAACAAAAACAACCTCAACTGAAACGCTGATTGTTGATTAAAAAATTGTCTTTAATTAGAAATTGAATTCGAGAAAATCTTTTTTTCTTCTAACCATTTATCAATTTATAAAGAAACTGAGCATTGATCAGAATTTTTCTTGTTTCGTCAAAGATTAATGAAGCTTTTGGTTCTTTTTTTGCTTTCATGAATTTCCATTCTAATGAGCAACTCTTTGCAGAAATTTTGAGAAATTTTCTGTTCCAAGTTTGGTTGAAATGTTGATTTGAATTGATTGAAATGAAAAGGTAAATATAGAGACAAAGAAATGATGGGAAAGTATGCTTATATGAAAGTCATTTCACGGTTCAGAGGTTACTCAGTTCAGAAGATGATGATGATGCTATGGTGAAGATGACAGGCTACTTGAGTATCTTTCCTTTGAAAAAGCAGTTTTTTGTGTTCCTTTACTTTTCACTTTCACATTCAATGAATTTCAAGTTTCAAGTAGTCAAGGTAACTTGTCCAGGGAAGGCAAACCTTTGGATAACAACAAAAGCAATATTTTAATAGTAAAATGTTACATTTCAAGTTATCATTTCAACCTTAAATGGAAGGTAAAAAAAGCAAAGATTTTCATTGCATGAAAAGTTGAACAAATAAAGCAACTTTCAAATCTCAATTTAGTCTTAAAGGAATGCAAATGAAATGATTTGGCAAATCGCACTTTAATTTATTGAAAAATTCAATTGAAAACTATTAAATTTTCCTCATTTAACTCCCTGTTTTTGGCGGTCTTTCAACGAATCAAAAGTGTTTGTCGAAAAGGAAAAGAAAAACTCTTTTTTTTCCTTCTTCTGGAGACAAAAAGAAAAGAGTTTCATTCTTGTTTTACTCTGAATGAGAATGGAAAGATTGGAGAAAAAGAAGAAGGAAAAGGATGAAATAAGGTAAAAAGCAAATTGATTTAGTAAAGTTGATTCTCATTAAAGTTAAAGGATAAAATGATGAGTTGGACATTCCCTTTACTCTAAAAAACAGTTTCATCCATCTTGACATTCTTCATTTCCTGCTGTATTCAGTTGCTTCTCATCTCGCCAGTTTCCATAGAGATTCATCCTTTTCTCATCTTCACCTTTTCTCCTCTTCTCCTTGTTCGCCTTCTTCCTTGCTCTTCCATACAAAATTATTCAATCAATGAAATATTTTGTTAAAACTTGAAACTTTACTTTGACCAACAACAAGAAGGAGAACTTTTATCCTGAAAACAGAGAGAAGAAGAAAAAAAAGTGTTTTTCGGTTAAACTAATTAAAATGGGTTGCCATGTCAAAAGTAATTATGGGCAGTTCTTACATGAATATTATTAGAAATGAAAAGCCTGCTGGCCAGACTCATCATCCTCATCACCTTCCTCATCACAATCCTAATCATTGCCATCTTTCATCTTCTCTCCATTTCTTTATTATCATTTCTCATCTTAAAAGACAGTTAACAAGCTTTAATATCATTATCATTCATTCAACATTTTTTTCCTCTTTTCTGGTTTGTTCCTTCCAACTATCCAAAAATTATCATAAAATTAAACCTCTTTTACAATGTTATTAGATACATCATAATCTTATTAGAATCATGTTTTTCATCCAAATTATTCTGACATTAACTTTTTGTTCACCTTCAGCCATCATTTCCATCTTTTTAAAGTTGAAATGCTTTTCAAGCCTCAATTTTACACCAAACATTTCAACCCTTTTTTTACCTATTCTTTCCCTTTTCCTTGTTAGAAAATTTATTATCCATTCAAAAGGGTTCCATCAAATTAATCATAATGAATGAAAATATGATTTGCAAACCTTTTCTTTTTTCGCCTGGTTCCTCAACTAATCAAGATTGTCCAGTTTAATTATAATCAGTAAATTAACTTTAAAACTTAATGAAGAGTTGGGAAAAGGCAAAATGGCTTTTCGTTTCATGTTTTGGTCTTGAATTGAGCCAAATAAATTAATTCCAATTCCATTGATCACTAAATTATTAAGCAAACTCAATTAGGTTAAAGTTACAAATGATGGTTTAAAAGTGTCTAATCATGTCTATATGATAGTGTTACAAAATATCGTCCAAATGAAATGTTGAATAAAAAAAAAGAGTTTTGTCAACTTTCCAATTCCCAATTGTAATCAATATTTTTATTTGATGTGCAAATTAAAGCGGGAAAATTTAAACTCTACACTCTAAACATTCGTAGGTGTAAGTGAGTGTGTAAAGAGGTTCATCTAGATGATCAATTCAATCATTTCAACCATCATTTGTCCACTGGCTTTCCTCACTCCATGAATCTCAAGAGAAAATTGAAAATGTAGAAAAATATATTCATCTCAATTTGGAGTTGAAATTAAAGAAACAAACAAGTCCAAGTTAATGAAAAGATATTGCACCAAATGGATGGACATTAAAAGGATTCAGTTGATGATAAACTGTTCATTTTAATCAAAACCTCTTTTCATCCTTCATCTTCTTTGCCCATATTTTTAGCAACTTTGTAACTGAATCTTGTGAAGCATCCAAAGATAAACATGAAACATTTTCAAATGAAGAGTTCTTTGCCGATGCTCAATCATTTTCACTTTAATCATCATTTCTTTTTTTACATTTACATTTCACGATTGTAATCAACTAGTTTAATTAAGAGGCTTTACAACAATTAATTTGACCAAATAAAGGTTCAAGTGTTGGAATGGAAATGCTTTTTTCGTTCATTTCTTTCCAAATGTTGACCTTTTTACATTTTTCATTTGCTTTTCTTGTTGTTCAAAGTTGACGATTAATGGACGTAAATTAATTGCCTTTCATGGCGTTGAATAATCAAATCTAATCAACATCTACTTGATTCAAGATTTTAAAGGCTCTTCAATGTTTGGATTCAAGAGAAAGATTGAAACTTACATGATTTTGCCATGCAAACTTTCACCTTCTATTGTTGATTAGCAAAGTGTCACTTAATTCATCATTGGACAGACAAACTTGAATTGGCACATTTTAATGGATAAATTATTTATTAATTAAACTTGTAATACAATTTGAAACATATTGCTCTACTTCTTGCACCTCTATTTGTTCAAAATGTTAATTGATTTGGATTTTACTCTTTTTTCAT